TTTCTTCTCTAGATCAGGAAGCCCTGAACACCTGTCCTCTCCCACACAGGAGCAGAGCAGGCCCTCGCTCCAGAATCAGCAAGCTGCTAGGCCCTCAGGCCCATCCCATCGCTGGCTTCAGGGATGGCCACGGCTCCACCAGTTGGAAGGGGCTTGCATGTTCCTTTAGAAACAGTGTTCTCATCTCCAAGGCCCAGGGGGCCTCACAAAAGTCAGTTTAGTGGTTGAGGGCTTGGGGAAAAGCCCCAGGTTTTAGCCACTCACAACCACAGGGACAAATAAATGTATTGTGAGTTCTGTTGTGGGGAATGCAGTTCACATCTCAGACAACCAGGGGAGACAGTAGGGAGCCAGTGACCAGGCAGAAATTTCCAGACCAGAAGGGTATAGATGTAAAACTGCTCCTCTGAACAGGCCAGGCTGGGTGTGCACACACCTGGGAAGGCAAACATGATGCCAGAAGAGCGACTTCCAAGCCGTACTGTGTGTGGTGGTAGCTGTGGGGGACGAGGGCACAGCATGTGCAGGGACATGAGCACACAGCTGGCTGCTGTGTTTGCCTGACTTCAAAACCTGCCTTCCAACAGCTGCCATCGTGATTCCCAAAGTGGGTGCTGTGGTATTCTGGGTATTCTGCCCACAACAGACCCTGTGTCCCTCCAAGTATAGGACTAGTGCCACCGGTGGCCTCGTTGGAAATTCACAGAGGACACCCACATGTTTTAAAAGGCCTCCTGTAAACGAACGAGTTTAAGTCTGAATAATGGGGGCATTTGTCCCAAACTCTTTGGACCCTTTACCTTCACTGCTTATCATCATCATAATAAACATCCCACAGAATCGGGGTTGCGTGTCTCTGCAGAAGAATGGTCTCTTCCACAGTGTTGAACACGTGATGGGAGGGAGGCTGGCGGGGCAGAGATTTCAGGAACAAGGCCTCTGGGTACCCTGGGGTCATAACCTTGGGAAAGAAGTTGCTGTGTTTATTCCAGAGAGAAGGGAGACTCCGCCAGACCTGAAGGAGGCAAGAGAGGCGTGTCTGGGGATGATTTTCTTGCTTGGAAAAGCACATCTGCTGTTTGGGTGTCTTAAGGGAGCGGGGACCTGGACAGAGGGCTTGGAGGGCGGGGCGGGCAGTGCTGGTCGAGCGAGCCCTTGGGGCGGTGAATCCCGGGCAGCAGAAGTCGCTGGCCCCTCTCTCTTGCTTTGTGTGTCTCTCATCAACCCGTCCTGCATTTTTTTTTGCTTGTCACCACTTCCCTCTTCTTCCACCCCTGAGGACCTCCTCCTTCTCCCTTCTACCCAAACACCTGCCCCTTCCCGTCATTATACATCTCCAGGCTCTCTTGGTGAGTCTGTGTAACTGCCCACAAAGAAGAATCAAACATGTGCTGTGTGTGCTTACATTTGTATCTGAAGTTACTAAAGTTACTAGATAGAGCTTCTTGTTCCCTTTTCTTATCTCAAAACCAGCTAATTTGGCATTTTACATTTTTTCTTGTATCCCAAACTCAACTATGTCCCTTATGGTTACGAGTGCTCTTTGATCAATTTTATTTTATCCCACACCCCCCGAAGCTGGAGTCCTCCAAAACACCCACTCCAGCCTCATTAGTTCCATCCCATGGTAACCCTTGATGAGCTGGGAGCCTGCAGGATGGGCATGCCAGTGAGGAGGGCATGTGGGTGAGCCCTGACTGTCCCGGTCCCCACTGATCATTCTGAGTGAAATGCAGCAAGACAGGGCGTCAGAGGGGAGCTAGCTGCTGTGTGGGGAAAAATGGTTGAATGGAAAATTATTTTTTCTTTCCCAGTAATTGTTTTGACATGAGCAGTAATTAGCCAACAGCTGACAGCCCAGAGCCGAAGCGAGAACAAGAGCATGGATTAGGGGCAGAATGCCCTGCGCTAGACAGCTCCTGGCTGCCGCCAGCACGGGCCAGCAGCCTGGGGACACTGGGTGCAGGCGGAAGGGAGCAGTGGGCTGAGGGTGCGCCTGAGGTACTGTGGAGGGCACAGGGAGAGGTCAGCAGGGCAGAGCTGGGCACAGCCTTGGTGTGCCAGGATCCCACCCCATCAGAGGTAGTAACTGATTCCCAGCCAAGGCCTGCTCAGGTAAGAATGTCCATGTTTTGTTGTCGTGGTCACGCTGAGTGGTGGTTCTGTTTTTGTTGTCGTGGACAGAGTTTAGGGTCAGGGCAATGCAGCCCTGTGCAATGAACTGGGAAACGTACCTCCTGTCTCTGTACTGTGGTTCAGGCTGTGCCCAGGAGTTTCTGTGTTGAGAGTTTGAATGTGTTTGCCCATCCAACCATCTGAGTTCAGGGCTTTCGGAGGCAGGTCATTTTCCAAAGTTCTTACTCATTTTGGTGTTTCCTGGTGTCCTTTAAAACTGTTTTTGATGATTTGAACCTTATGGAAGGTTTTGTATTTATTAGCATAGAATATAAATCATATGTTCCTGCACTAAAAAAATCTCTACTCGGTTAGTTATGCTTATGTTTTCTTTCTAATTCCCAGTTTGAGCATTTGTGTTCCCTTTCAGTCTCAAATTACACTGGCTGACCTGCCTTTTGTATCATTGTGACCCTTCTGCAACCCCTCCCGCCTCCCTGCCCCGCCAACCTAACACACAGGGAACCGGCCAGCCTGGTCAGTGTTGCCCTGCTGCTAACTCATGGATTTTCAGTGCCGTTTTATATTTCTGTCTCGTGTTTTCCTTTGCTTTATCTCATTGGCTTTTGATTTTTTTCTAAGTTTTAAAATCAAATGTTTAGTTCATTTATTTGTATCTATCCTTGGCTTTGGTAATGAAATAATTAAGGCTATAGATTTCCCTCCAAATATAATTTAGGCCTTGTCCCATTTGTTTTTGCTATGTTCTTCCTTATTGTCTTCTACATATTGTGTAATTATTGTTTTAAATTTCTCTTTGACCTGAGATTATTTGACAGGGCATTTTCTTAAACTTCTAAGCATCAGGAAGTTGGGTGGATGTAGACTTGTGTATTTGTTTTTTTATTATTAATATCTACTTTTATTACTTTCTGCTCAAAGAATATGGCTTGTGTTCTTTATGCCCTTTGCAATTTATTGATACTTTGCAAATTTATTTGTGGCTTACATATGCCCAACTTTTTCTTCCTAATGTTCCATGGCCCCTTGACAAAAGATATTATCTTTGTTCTCAGGGTATTATGTTTCATACATCTAATTCAATCAGCTCTTTAAATTAAATTACCAAGATTTTCCACATCCTCACTTCTGTCTTCTAATCAGTCACAGTCTGAAAGCAGCACACGAAGCTTTCCTACTGCTCTCTTCAGGTTTTTCCAGCCTTGTATTCTTTCCATTTCAGTGCTATGCTGTTTGATAGGGGACATTTCTCGAATGCTACACCTTCAGCTGAGGTGATATTTAATGTCAGCCAAGTGTCCTTGGTACCATAGCTTATGCCCATATGAGTAGATTGCCCTTCCCACTCTCCCAGCCTCCGGGTAGGCATGGCATTCTCTGAAGCTCTGAGAATCCTGGTCCCCTATTTACCTGGGGACTTCTGAGTGGTGTCAGCATTTGACCAGCTGCCTGAGGGGCAAGTTGAAACAGGACTGTGGCTGCTCACATGGGGTTGATTTATTTCTTGTTGCTTTCCAAGCCACTGCCCTGGGGGCCAGCCCTGTGCTCACCCACCTTCAGAGTGTGCAGCGGACCTTGGAGGTCAGGGAGCAGCCCAGCTGCCTGCAGGGTCTGCTGAGTTTGGCTCCATCCGCAGGTGGCACTGGAGTGTTCACTGCAAGCAGTGGAGGTGGGGGCACCCCCAGCATGAGGAAGGATCCCCGTGGGTAGCCTTCATCACCCCATTGCTGCCTCCTGCCCTGGCCATTCCAGATGAGTAGGGGTTGCTGACTTCTAGTCCTCCCCTCTGCTCCCTGCCACACGGTGGAGCACTCTGCACACAGCTACAATCTGGACATCGGTGTGTTCATCTCTCGCCAGCACAGTATCTGTGCTGTAGCCCTTTCTCCAGCAGGCTTCCTTGGTCTCCAGTGATCACGCAGTCTTGGGGTTCAAGGCAACTGGATTCAGGAACAAGGCAGGAAAGATCCCTCTCCCCACCTCCCACCCATTTTCAGGAAGTTCTTTAGAATTTACAAATCCATTTTGCAAGTGCTGTCTCATTTGATTTTCATCCCAACAAAGTAGGTTTGGTGACTGGGTAGCCTTAACCCCATTTTGTGGGGAGGAGGCAGAGGCTCACTGAGGAGGAGCCACTCCTGAGCTCACCGCAGTACCCTGAGAGCAGCACCTCCTTCGGGAACTGGGAATGCAGGGCCGTGCTCCATGCTCGTGAGGTCGGCTGTGCCGCCGGCCAGCCAGCCACTCCGTTAGCTCACACTGGGAGCATGAGTGAATGTCACAGGGGCAGAATTTTAGAGCCCTGGATTTTTTTCCTTCCTTAACCTTGGGAAAACCAACTCAAGAAGGATGTCCTATTATCACCCAGCTATTAATTGGCAAAGCCAGTTGTCATGGAAACCAGTAAACAAAGTCCTCTTTCCATTATGGCCAAATCACACAGGGCGGAAAGGGTGCAGAGGGCCTCAGAGAGAGGTTTGTCAGGGGGGTTACAGGATGGGGCTGGCGGGGCCTCCTGACTCCAGAGAGAGAGACTGGACCCTTGATTTGCGCCAGCAACTACCACCGATGTGACATTTTCAGTGATGGCCATTGGCTTATCATGGTCTCTCCTCTTTTAAGCACATTTTCCCCCTCTCTGGTTCACAAGGAAACTAGGCCCCCAAGAGGTCAGTAACTGGGTGCTGGGGATTAGGGAGATGCTGCCAGTCTCTGCGGAGTGCTGGTGAGAGGCTGGGAGGTGGTCCAGCTGCCAAGGCCTCCCAGCACCAGGCATGCGGCGGGGGCAGGGGCTGCGCTGCAGAAAGCCAGACGCGCCCATCTGTGGCCAGCACAGCGTCTCAGCAGTGTTTCTGTCCCCACAGTGAATGGATACCACGCATCGGGGACCCCAGCGCACCCTCCTGAGACTGCCCACATGAGTGTCCGCAAATCCACCGGTGATTCCCAGGTGAGAGGTCCTGTTGTGAGAGGTAGGGATGGGTGCCAATGCAGGATTGGGGCGGTGTCATTAATGTGAGTGCATGGTGGGGGTGAAGCTGGCCACAGACAGCCCACTTCTGCCCTGCGTAGTTGGTCCCTCTGGGTCACTCCCGTACACCATTGCTGGGGGAGAGCGGGCAGTTGTGGTTTGCTCGGTTTCCCCTAGATGTTGGGGTGGTGTGGAGTCAGGGAGGGTGATGGGCTATAAATGCTGTAAGAGTCGGGTTCCCTCCTGCTGCCCAGATCCCTGATGCAGAGAGTCTCGGTTTTCCATGACTTTGAGAATATGGACGAGGCAGGTCATGTTCCTTTTCTGCACGTTCCCTCCTGCCCCAGACCTGACCCAGAGTGGGATTTGTGAAACGTTCGGTCACAGTCAGTGATCCGGCTTGGAGACGGCATGGGGCTGGAAAGAAGTGGGAGTGTGTTTTACGATTCCCAGACTGCTTTTGTTTACACATCACCTCGGTGAGCACTTGTGCAGACACACGAGGTAGGTGGCAGTGCCATTCCCATGTCACAGATAAGGTCACCAAGGCCCAGCCTGGCTAAGTGACTCTTGCAGGTTGATGTGATCACTAGGCGGCCAGGCTAGACCCCGATGCCGAGCCCCGGGGCTCTCAGTTGCAATAAGCTGTGTCCAGAGGACTGAGACCTGGTCTTCCTTAGTCTCTTCATAAGTTATCTATAAGATGTTCTCAGTGAGGCCTCCAAACCCCATCGATCCTTTCTGGGAATTGAAATGCCAGGCCCCAGGGAACGGTGATGGTGGTGATGGTGGTGGTGGTGGTGGTGGTGGTGGTGGTGGGGATGGTGGTGATGGTGATAATGGTTGTGGTGTTGTTGATGGTGGTGGTGGTTGTGATGGTGATGATGACGACAACTGCTTGTTAGCAACAACAAGTACACACTGGTCACTGAAAGGAAGGCCGTGGGGTCAGCTGCTAGGGAACGCCCAAAGGGAACACTTAGCTTTAACGCAGGCAAGAGCACTTGTTTTCAGAAACACAGTTACGTTGTTGTCCAGGACGCTCAGCACTGGGCGCAGGGTGAATTCCATTAAAACTCTGGGAAAGAATTTGGACGTTTGTGTGGGCCAAGGCTTCTTGGACTGAAGACTCATCCAGGCCTCTTGTTACAATGCAGATTCTGGTTCAGGAGGCCCAGGAAGGGACCCGAGGTTCTGTGTTTCCAGCCAGTGCCCGGATGATGCTGCCCACCAGGTGGCACCCCGTGGGCGGCGAGGATCTAGGCGCAGTTGATGGGGCACACTCGTGCGTGTGGGCCCCCTTCCATCCCCTGACCATGGCTCACAGCAGGGTGCCGGCCCTGTGGCATCCTGCCCAGCCCCCGCCGGCCTCCTCCAGCCAGCCTGTGGCAGCCTGTGTGAAATGGCCTGACTGAGGGATGTCTTCTGAGGAGACATCAGCCTGGTTCTGCTGTGGTTCACCCACTGGGGAAGGCTGGGCCACCCTGAGCTCCCTCAGGAAGAATGCTGGAAATAACCGCCCCCCCCATCAGTCTCCTCCCTTCCCCAGCAGAGCACAGCTCGCCCTCCCCAAAACACTGTGAAGGTGTTGCTCAACCACTTGAAACAAAACACATACTTATAACAGCCGTCTCAGAAGCCACTGGACTGTGTGCGCCTTGAGCCTTTGACCCAGCAACTCTCTCCCAGCATCTGCCCTTGGGATGTGCCCAGGGATTCTGATTTAGGTGCAAAGCGGTTCACCCAAGCAGCGCTCGCCGCACTGCACCCAGCCTAACTGTCCAGCAGCGGGGGATGCGTGAGATGGCCTGTGGCACCAGACATCCTGCCTGCTGGTGACATCGTGCAGTCGTTAAAAAGCATGCTTCCAAAGAAAACGTAATAATTTAGGAAATGCCAGGGCATAGTATTGAATGGGAAGAGCAGGACACGGATGGCACACATAGGCAGGCTCATCTGGGGCAGGAAATCTCTGTGTGGGGAGGCAAATGGCTGGACGAAACGTAAGCCAGGCACTGAGGGTGGTTCAGCCTGCCTCTGAGACTGGGATTCTCCTTGGGACATTTGGCAGTATGTGGGGACATTCTGGCTGTCACAGCTGGGGTGAGGGTACTGCTGGCCCTGAGTTAGTAGGGGTCAGTGATGTCACCAATGGCCCCACAGTGCACAGGACGGCCCTGCCACTGAAGAATCGCCCAGTTTGAAATGATGGGTGGTGCTGAGGTTCAGAAACCTGGGTCTTGGTCATTTGTATTTGCTTTATACTTTCCCTTATTTTTCAAATTTCCTGAAATGAACACATTTTACTTTTATAGAAGGCAGATAGAATGAACATTATTAAAAACAGGAAGAAGTTAGAAGGGAGGTACCAGTAATTAGGGATGCGGCGAGGGTCAGTTCTGGGGACCCAGGCCTGGGCAGGCCATGACTGTGCAAGAACGGTGGAGTTTGGGATGGTCATGCTGGCGACTGTGTCCTCAAAGTAACAAGAATGGAGTACATGGAGAGAGCAAATACCCATTCGGGCACAGGTTCCCAGGACTATTGCGTGAGGTAGAACGGCGTCCTCTCAGGCTGTGTAAGGGCCTGTGAGCCTGCAGTGTGGGCTGCCCCCTAAGGTGCTAGAGGCCAGTTGTGGGAATAGGAGAAGCGACTTTGGCATTTACAGAGAGCACTACCAACAGGTCACCCCAAAGGAGCACTATACAACCTGCATGGTATTTACTCACACAATCCCAGGCTGTCTGTTATAATTAACCGTTATGACTTAATATTTGAAGAATGAATGAAGGAGCAAATGAACACATGGCTATTTGCAATGCAGGTTGGAGGTGGACAAAATAGCTTGTTCAAACCCACTTTGTGTTTTTTTCCTGCTACTTGGTAACTGCCTCTCTCTGAACAAACTCATCAGGAACATTAGAATGTCAGGGGTGGTGGGGGTAGACAGTGTACCTAATCTTTATGGAAACCCAGTGTGTCCCCACTCTGCTCTGTCCTGGGCAGGACTGATGGCTGGGTGTCCAGCAGCCCCAGGATGCCTGCCCCTCCTTCTCCCAGCCCTGGGAGGCCTTCATGGCAGCACAGGTAGTGGTGATCTCGCGCCACCCAGTGGAAGGTTTTAAGTCTGCAGGCCTGGGCAGGCTGCCTGGGTACTGGATAAATGGGGCCCACCTGGTTGGAGAGGCAGGGGAATCAAAGGCTGATAGTCTTGCTAGCCTTTGTAGAAGCACATCCTAGCCTGTCCCCTGCCTGCCTGGCTACCTGGGTGGCTAGGGGGGAGGCCGGAGTGGTGGAGGCCCTCTCAGATCCCTTAGCAGGTGTAAGAAAGGCAAGGGACCTGCCCACCAGTGCCCAGACCCTTTTGTGACCCACCTTTCAATTGTTGGGGCTTCCCTTGAACTTCCCCCCAAGAAGACACAGGAGGGGAAGGGGAATGGGACTAAGGGCTTTGGAATTTGAGGGACCCATGGAGAGTAGAGTTGGAGGTTGAGGAGGAGGTGAAATACTGAGCACTCATCTACTTCACCCTTCCCTGCCCCACCCCCTTCAGTGACACGCAGTCTGTTGAGTGTGCCCTTCTCCACAGACAGATGTGGCCTCTGCCCTGGTGGAGGCTTATAGCTGGTGCTGAGAAAGACAGGAGATAAATGATTGTTTCCTGTCCGCAGTGGTAAGAGCTGAGGGCAGGGTGTGCTCCATGGCCCCAGGGGTGTCAGGATGGTGGTGAGTGGGAGTGGGGATGTCAGGGAAGACTCCTTTAGGAAAGATACTTAAGCTAAGACTGGAAAGGAGCAAGGGCTCAGGTTGGCAAACAAGGAAGCACATTGCAGGTGAAGGGAACAGCACATGAGGGTGCCTGGAGGCAGAAGGGAGAACCATGCTTTCAGAGGGCACCCAGAGCCCAGATCGGGCTGTGGTTCGCTCACTCAGCGGGTGGGGGAGGGTGGGAGGTGAGCCTGGAAGCACCGCACAGGCCTGCTGTGGGGACCTCGGTTTTGTCCTGACAGTACCCTGGAGTTGTTGAGAGGGTTCATACTGGACCCTACCTGCCCAGGAAAGGAGGCAGGGTGGTGAGGACACACAGCATGGGGGCTTGCAGAAGCAGTTGTGAGTGACCTTGTACCCCTGACCCCCACCATAGTCCTCCAGGCACTGCTGTCACCTCTCTGTGGGCCGGTCCCTACCACACAGTAGCAGCAGAGTGGCTCAGGCCAGGTGAGGAAAACAGGTGGAAAGCAGGCAGAATCCAGGCGGGGGGATTTTAAAAAAGGGAGGTAAACTTTCTAGAATCATTGGCAGAGGAAAAGAAAAAGAAAAAAAACCACTTTAATTATGGACTTTTGCAAACATTTATAGAAGTAGAAGGAATACTCTAATAAAGGACTGTGGACCAGTCATGTAACTTCAACAATTATTTAGCCAATCTTGTTTCATGTATGTTCCCAGTCCTTCCCCCCCAGCCCTCACTGAGTCATTTTAAAGCAAATTCCTGGCATATTACAGTTTTAGCTGTAAACGTTTTATAATGTTTCCAAAGGGGAAGACAGAACTGCGATACCATTAGCACGTTTAAGAAAACATTAATGCAGTGATATCTGATACGTACAGTCCATGTTTCAAACTCCCCAGCTGTCCTCAGGGTGGCTGTTGTAGCTGCTTTTCTCCTCCATCCAGGGTCCATTCAGGTTTTACCCATGGATGCATTGGTTGCTTTATCTCTTTAATTTCTCTTTTTAAAACATCTTCACTGAGCTAAAATTTACATAGCATGTAATTCACCCATTCTGAGTGTGCGAGACGCAGTGGTTTTCAGTGTGGTCACAGAGCTGTGCCGTCCTCATCACACCCAGTTCCAGAACATTCTCACCACCCAAAAAAGAATTTCCTTAAGCCTTAGGCAACCACTGATCTGCTCGCTGTCCCTGCACGTTGGCCTGTTCTGGAGACTTCACGTACACAGCACCGTACCATGTGCGGTCTCTTGTGTCTGGCTTCTTTCACTTAGCTCACCATAGCAGCCCTTTATTCCCCCTTTTTTGTTTTGTAGCCAAATACTATTCCATCGCATGGATTTAATGTTTTATTCTAAATTATCACTTTAGTCTACACTGTAATTGCTATGCGTGTGTTCTTTGTCTTTCCTCAAACTGACTTTTTGGGGTCAGAGTCCAGGTCCGCCGTCTGGCAGAAGGACGTGCATTCTTAGTCTAATTGCTTCCTTTTGCTGAGACTCGGGTCCCGCAGTTTGGCCATGAGCACCACCCAGGGCCTGTGGAGTGCTTCTCACTGTGTGTCTGGAGACACACACTCCCAGGTCACCACCCTGCGGGGTGATGCTGAGTTTGAGCTCTCCCGTGACGTGGTGATGACAGATGGCTCCTTCACAGGGGAGCCTTTCTGCTTTTTAATTTGTCGGCAGTTGGTGGGGTGATAGAGTGAGGCTTGTGCCTATGCTGGTCCCTAACCATCTCTTCACGGAGAGCTTGGAGCATCCTTGACGATTGATCACAGCCTGAATCTATGTTGACGTTGATGTTTGCACATGGTGATTTTCTAATTCTTTATCCACCTCCAATTGGCATTTTTCTGTAAAGAATGCTGCCATCCCCACCCCACCCCTCTTTTGTAGTTCATCATTTGTAGTCATTTTTTATGTTCATGCTCCTATCGCCCCAAATTGGCTTGTGGGGGCCCCATTAAGCTGACTTCTGTGTCCTGTTATTATATCACCCCGTTTTCCTTTTCGAACACTGTCGAACCTCCCAGAACAGTAAGCTATTTCAGGCCCGCCTGATGTGTGGGCATAGCCGCTTCTCAGGAGCCCGAGCTCCGCCTAGCAGGGAAGAGCGTTTAGAAACCAACTTCCCACTCGTAGGTGTTCCACTGGGACTGAGGTGTCCTTCCTTCTGGGCCTTCCCGTGGAGTGCTGCAGGGCATACGTGTGTGTGTGTGATATACACATATATATTGTGCATGTATGTGGCATGTTTATGTGTCTACGTATATGACATCAGAGCCACAGGCACAGGTCATCAGCAGCAAAGGCAGAGACCACCTCAAAGAACCTGCGGCCCCCACTCTGCACAGCTGCTGGGGCAGAAATGGAAAGGGGCCCCCACACTTAGAACACCATCCCTTCCTCCCCACCGCCATCACTTGTACTCCTGTCCTGGCCCAAGTTACAGGATGGAGGTGGCCCCTGTGTCCAGCCTCGTTTCACAGAGCCTTGGACACAGTGGTTCCACAATCAGTGTTTGTGGGGACAGAGGTCTTTCTTGACCTCTGCAGAGACATCTGGAAGATGAGAGATCATCCCAAAGTGAAGAGATGGCAGGGGACAGAGGAGGGGTTACTCAGGCTGGGCTTCCAATGCCCTCTCTTTACTTACCTGGTGGCCGGGGCAGGCCAGGTGGCTCCTGCAAGCCTCAGGCTCACCATCTGTGAAACAGAGACAAAGCCACTGAACCTGCTGGTGCTGTGAGGGTTAAACCAGACTGAGTATGTCAGGGGCTGAGCCTGACGCCCCCGCCAGGCAGGTCCGCCAAGTAAACCAGCGCTGGGTGGCAGAGCTTCCTCCTGTCCTGGTCGTCCCCCTCGTCCTCCGCATCCCCGTGAGCAGCCGCAGCAGCTTCGATACACAGACCCAGAGGCTGTTGCCGAGGCTGCCAGAGCACTGGCCGCCCTTCCTGGGAGCCCGGAGTGGGACTGAGGTGGGGGCGGGGGTGGGGGCTATCTGTCAGCCACAGGGAGACCCCTGCAAATGGCAGGACCCATCTCAGCGACCCCCCCATTCTCCCTCTGTGCACAGCTGCCCCTTGAAGAACACAGTGTGGAGGGGGCTTTGGGGCGCTGACCCCTGCACAGTCAAAAGTCCACGTATAACTTTTAACTCTCCAATACCCTGGCTACAGTCCGTCAGTATCTGGGGGGTCTTGGGTCCAGGACCCCCGTGGATGCCCAAACCCACATGTATGCAAGCGCTATATGTAAAGTGGCGTACATACAGCTTGTACTTTGTATTCGAGAGTTCCCAGCCACAGATTGAAAATATGCACGGTTTGAATTCAAGGATGTGAAACCTGGATATGGAGGGCTGACTGTGTATTTATTGAAAAAAAAATTTCACATTTAGGTGGACAGTGCAGTTCCGATCCATGTTGTTCATGGGTCACCTGTCTTGGCTGGGCCAGTGCCTCTGCATGAGGGAACCTTCCGGAGCTCTGCAGCTGGCCCTTCCTTCCCTTGGAGAATGGCACCCAGCTCGCACCAGGCAGCCTCTGTCCGCCTTCCTCCACGGCAGCCCATCCCACAAGTGCCTGGGGACGGAGCCGATAACCTGGGGTGTCCGGGGCGGGTGCGCTGGACGCGCTGCTGCGTTAACAATGCTGAGTAAAGCTGTGATTGCTCACCAGCCTCCCTTTGCCCCGGCTCCGGTTAGGGCTGCGAGAGGGGCTGCCGGAAGTAGGGGCCTGACGGCACGTAGACCACCGTGCCTCCAAGGGACATCCCCAGACTCTGCCAGAGGCGCTGGCCTGCCTCAGCCCTGCCAGATCAGAAGCTCTGGGAGATGCAGCTGGGACTCGATTTGGGGCAAATTCCTGAGTTAATTCTGATGCACTCCAAAGTTTGAGGACCGTTGATAACAGATGGTAAAACTGAGGCTCAAAGAAGTCACATGACACAGCAGGATGTGAAGGCCAGTGAGTTCATGTTCTTGCCTGTGACACGAATGAGCTGTGAGGTCCTTTTTGTCTAGGCCATCTTGGGAATCGATTTTCACTAGTTGACTTTCTTTACCAGCCAAATGGGTTTGGAAGAGAGGGGGGGAAGGAGGTGGCTGGAAGCAGGCAGACAGGCAGGCTCGCTCCCTGAGCTGCCTGATTAGCAGATGGGTAATTAGCAGTTCCTGAGGTGGGGCTGGCCTGCAGGAGCAGGGCTGAGCCAGGATGGGGGGCTGTTGGGTCCCCAGGGCTCACTGGAGAAACCCCTCCATGCTTTTTCTGGGACTTTACCTGTAAAATCCTGACAGCCACTTCCTTATATTCCACTACAGAGAGAATAAGGACTCACATACTGTGCCACAGGCAGTGCCTTAGGGGCGAGCTGCTTCCCAGGCCATTGTGTGGCTCAGGACAGCAGCCGACAGCACCCACCTGCCTGGAAACCCTCTTGAGTCCCTAATGTGACTGCTGACAGCGCGACAGTGAAGGCCGTGCATTGACCCTTCCCTTAGGCTCATGGGCCCCTATGACCAATTTGGCAGTTTCCGCTGGCTGTCCTCAATTTTCTGTGCCAGAACCATCCTCAGACGAGGGCCAGCTGCTAAGGGCCATGTGTTCGGACGTACTCGGGACCCTGGTTTTCTTACTGGTGATGGGAAGACACAAAAAGGCAATTTAAAGTCAGACGAAAGCTGGAGCGCGGCTTTCCGCTGAGCAACCCCCACTCCTGACTTTCAGGGCGGGAGAGCGGCAAGGAGAGGTGGAGCGCCCAGTGCGCAGGGCGCACCTGTGGGGTTTGATCTGTCTGACCCTGAAGCTTCAGATTAAGATGTCAGGTTCTGAATGCTCCATGCCAGGAGGTGGGGGCCTGCAGTCTACCTTAACTCTCTGCTCCCCAGTGGGTTCTGCAGGTTCAGGCATCAAGCTGCACACGGAGCCACTTACCAGCAGAGGGCAGCTGAGGGGTTAACTCCCAAATCACAGACGGAGAAGAGAACAGCCTGGTCTGGAGCAGTTTCCCCAGAGCTGTCAGCCCAGCATAGGAGCAGCGCAGGGTCAGGGGTACTCCCTCCTGCCCTGTCCCAGAATATGGTGACTTAGGAGTTAACAGCAGGCTGACCATCCCCAAACTTCCCCAGCACGAAGCTTTGAACCAATCCCAGCACCTTCAGAGAGCGCAAAAGGAAAAAGAGTGTCCAATATGGAGAACAGCTTTGATGATCCTTCTTGTCTCTCCCTCCAGAATCTGGGATCCTCATCACCAGGCAGAAAGCACAGCAAGGAGAACACCCTCACGGTAAGGGCTCCCTCGGAGTGCCCACTGGTTGGGCGGCAAACTGGGGCTCTCAGCCACAGCTGGGCTGTTGTCATGACAACGTAGATAGCCCATGAGTAGAAGTGATGCCCAGCCTGGAATCTGGGAAGTTCCAAAGCTTGGATGTAGCCAAAGTTCCCCCTGGGTCCCCCTTTCTGTCAGTTTCACAGCTCACTTTTCTCTCTGGGGAGCTGGTGGAAGGATGGAGGTTGTGTGATGCAGAAGCCATTTCTGCAGGGCGGGCAGGGGTGGGATGAAGGGGGTAGACTGTGCTCTGTGCAAGTGACGTGGTGCACAAATTACAGCCACGGCAGGGCTGCTATGGGCGGGGTAACTCCTGGAAGATGTTAAAGTTAAAAAGCAAGAGAACAATTCCTAAGAATAGAGTTCCCGGGAGTTCCTGACAGCAAGCAAATAGCTTCTGCCTGGAGTGGCCACCTGCCTCCCAAGGCTCTTCCAAAGCCCACCCAACCCCGACATGCAGGCTGAGAAGGACCCCCTCACACTCATCGGCCCTGTGCCTGGGGATGGTGGGTACTGGGCATCAGTGTCCCCTCCAAGTGGGTAGACAGGCGTCCAGGTGCTGAAACTGCCGAGACCCGGAGACGGGAGCAGTATGGTCCCCACTGTGCCACGCTGACACAAGCACAGCAGAGCTGGGAGAAGGCAGTCACTCCACCGGGCTCCATCACACACACTTCGGAGCGGCTCTGGCGGCTCTGATGGCCCCCAGGCAATGAGCCCGAGAGTGGGTTGGCTCCCTTGGCTCGTGCAGGCTCAAAACCTGGCTTAGGAGGGGAACCAGAGGGTGGGCAAACAGTAACAACAATAATCACTGCCACTTCTGTGTGCATTTAAGACGCACAAATAGTGGGGGGCTCACTTGGCTCTCCACTTACTGGGTGAGGTGGGGGCGATGGGACTGATGTCGTGTGGTGATTGCACACCAAGGCTCTGAAGCCACAGTGGCAGCTACAGGGCCTGTCCGCCGGGTAGCAGCCTGGGACGGGTCTCTCTGTGTCTCTGTCTTGTGTCCACATCTGTGCCACAGGGAGGGTGTAAAGACAGAGTCCGTGTGTGGTAGCACCTAACACAAAGCCTGGCACTAGTAAGTGCTGAGTTCACACTCATGTTCTCATCACCCTATCAACAGATGAAGAAACTGAGGCATAGAACCATACCCTGCCCAGGGCCACACAGCTGGGAACATTGGGATCCCAGACCTGTACTTTTACACCTCACCCTGCCCCTGCTGCAGAAGCTGCCTCCTGAAATGGTCTGCTTTTGAGCTGCATGATCATGGGCAAGGGACTTAACCTCTCAGTGCCTCAGTTTCCTCACCTGTGCCTGAGCTCACACTAGGTCATTGCAATGAACATTCTCGCTCTAAAGGCTCAGGACACCAGCATGCCCCACAGCTGTCCTCATCCCCCTCCACTGCCACAGCCTCCCTCTCCCTGGACTTGACCCTCCCACGCACCCTCTTTTCTGTCTGTCCACCAGGTCTGTCAGCTGAGGGGCTCTGAGCATCAACGCTATTGACGTTTCAGGTTGGGTAACTCTGCTGTGGGCATGGAGGGGGACAAAGTCACCCCGTGCCGTGCGCTGTAGGTTATTTACCAGAATCCCTGGCTTCTGCTCACTGGAAACCAGTAGCAACACTTCCCCAGGTGTGACAACCAAAAATGTTTCCGGGTTGCCAGATGCCCCCACTGCAGGGGAGCAGGGCAGAGTCACCCCAGTAGACAGCCATGAGTTTACTTCGTGGTATTGTGAGGTCTGCCGACAAAGGCTATCCCACACTTTGCTGCTTCTCTACCTCACTGCGCTGCTCCAAGCCACCATTACACCTACTGGTCCCTGCAGCGTCTCCCCTAGCGGCTGAGGTCACCTGCATTCTCCCACCAGTGCCTGTTCTACGCTGCAGCTCACCCAGGAGTGGCCAGGTCACGTCACTCCCTGGCCAGACACTTCCACGGCTCCCATGCCAGCATGGTCCCCTGTGACCTCAGTGTCATCTGCTCCCTGACTGTGACCCCCAGCCACATGGAGCAGCATGTTCCCAACCATGTGGTGCGCCCCAGAGGCTGGGGCCCTTTTCCTCTCTGCAGCATTCTTCCCCTCCCACCCTCTGTCTGACTCTTAGTACTTACATAGCATTCCCTCTGAGATTCCCTTCCACATAGTCCCAGCACCCCATGCTTATCCCAGTGGTAGATTCATCCCAAAGTATGGCAATTACTTACTTACTTGTACTCTTTCCTCACGAGGCTGTAACACCGAGGAGGGCAGACACTATGCCTTCTGCATCTAGCCTGTGGTCATTGCATTGAGAAGCATTTGCCGAGTGTCATCAGGTGCCTGTGCTGTGCCCGGTACAAGGGAGACAGCAGGAAACAGTGGTCTTCCTGCCTCATGGAGCAGACAGTCTGGCAAGGAGGGGAGATGCTAAGTAAACAATCACAAGTAGAGTAATTACAAATGTACATGTACATGGTGCTGGGAAGACGTGGTGCAGTGTGTGGCGCCAAGCGGCCATCCTGCGAGGCAAGCAGACAGCGGGTGCTCCAGGCACAGCCAGCATTGTTGAGACTTGAGCTCTGCTGTCAGTCCTCTCCATTCAAACACTGTCATCCTGTGATCCTCGGCTTCCTCATATACAGTGAGTGGGGTTGCTCAGAAGATGAAGTGAGAATGCCTGCAGAGCTCTAGGCAGGGTGCCGGAGTAAGGGCTCTGCAGGAATTCCAGAGTTGTTACAACTGCTTCCTGGGGGCAGAGAGTGCAGTTCTGAAGATGCCCAGCAGGGGGTACAGGGCTTTGTGAGGATCTGGAGAGCTGGGAGTGAGAAATCCCCAAACCAGCCCAAAGAGACAGGAACAGCCACCCTGGGAACCCCCACCAGTCCATCCAAGGACCAGTCCCCACAGAATGGCAGAAGCCACAAGAGGAATGAGACATATCCTCCCTGATCTCCTCTCCCCCCCGCATAGCTGGCTCTTCCTCAGGGGTTGCTATGGGGTGGTTTGGGGGGCCCCTTGCCTCCAGATCCCTGACAGGGCACTAGAGAAGACACTATACCACCCCAAGTGCCTTCAGCCTCCAACTTCCATGGTTCTTGATACCCAATAGAATGTCAGTTAATGTATCACTAAGTTGGGTTGAAATTTTCATGGACGAATCATCAAGTAAACTAAAGATGGACCGTGTTCGCCATTATTTGATGAAACGAGACTAGCTGAGACAGGAAATGAGGACTCTGTGAAACTGTGGGCTCCACCCCTGGCTTCCAGGATTGCTGCAAGAGAGACCCACACCACAGCCGAGGTCAGAGGCCTGGAGGAGACTCCCCCTGGGGCATGCCTCGGGGCATCACACCAGAAGGAGGGCTGGGAGGGTGTTGCCTGCTCCTGGGCATAAGAGGTGGCACTGCCCCATGCAGGCTCCTGCAGGCGAACCACACCTTGGGTCACTGTGGGTGCAGTGTTGCAAGAAAACTCTCCCCCCTGTTTGGGGGTGCCTCAGGCTTCCCTCGACCTTGGTGGAATTTGGTACTGCTCATCTCCGGGGATCTCAGGGTCATTCACACCCCTGACCCTTCCTACCTTGTCGTGCTTCCCTCCAGAGTGGGAGTCTCCTCCGGGACTTCAGCCAGGTATCAGCATGCAGGAGGAGGGGCTCCTTTCATTGGCTGGACTCGCCCATGCTCTCCTCCCAGGACAGGGTTGGGGGTGGGCTAGATTTATTTCCCGCCACCCTGGAGCCCCTGAAACAACCCATGGGCCTGACTCAGCTGGCATAGGAGTTGTTTTGGCTTACATTGTTGATGTTGCTATTATTTGCCTTGAGTTAATTTGCCAACATTTCAAATTTGAAACACTTCACAGGAGATTCCCGATGTTAAGCTTCTCTCGGGTCACCACCTAACCTGACAACATTGGACTCCTCGTTCTGGCTCTGTAACAGGAGGCGGGAGCAATCCGCCCCTTGGCTCGATCTCCCTAGACTCCCCTACCCCTTCCCCAAGTGGAGGCTGGTCATTTTCCCACCACTGAGCTGCTGTTTCTGAGACCCACAGGCCCTTCACTTGCTGTGAGAGCTGCCACATTGGAGTCAGTGGCTTCTGTTCAGAACCCCGGGGGGTTGCTGTCCTGTTCTTGCCTTGACTGTGTGACAGCCCCCACTTCAGCAGACGCTGGGCTGCAATGGAGGGTCCAAGACGGACAGGGCTCAGGCCCAGCGAGGCCCTGCGGCTCCCACAAAGAACAGAGTAGCTGGCACCATGGGAGGGGGCCTATGCTTAAAGCAACATCAGCAGGACCAGTGAGTGGCAAAGCCACTCCCACCGAACAGGGAGAGTGGGAAAGCCCGAGACAGGCCCCAGTAGTTCCGCACTGCACTCTCCAAGCCTGCACCTGGATTCTAATTTTTAACCTCTCTGTTTGTAGAATACATTTTATGAGATAAAATTCACAGGGTCACTTTTCACCCTGGACCTTCAGCCACGTAATTCCTTTCCCTGGAAGCAAATGGTGTAATTAGCCTGTAGAAGTACTCTGCATGTAAATAACACAGATGGTGGTGTACCATAAATATTCTTCTATGCCTTGCTGCCCCTACCCCACTGTCTGTCCTGACACACCTTCCTCCTCAAGCCACAGGAACCTTCTCTGTCTATCACCACGGGTACGATTCCCATGGGTGCTTGTGTGCCTCATGCTTTGTTTAACTGTTGCCCTGCTGATGGGCAGTGGAGCTGTGTCCAGCCTTCTGCTATTGCAGGCAGTGCCATGGTGGAAAACTCTGTCCACACGTCACTGCACACCTGTGCAAATACATCTGTATGATAGACACTTCAGAATGCAGTCGCTGGGTCAAAGGCTCTGGAAGCTTGCAGCTTTGTTGGGAACTGTTACTCTGCCCTCCAGAGAGCTTGTACCAAAGTCAGCCAGCAGCTCTTGGGTAGGTGTGAGTACTGGTTGTCCCCCATTTGAAATGTCGGCTGCTGGAACATCTCAAGATCCCCGTGTGTGTTCTATTGAGCCGGCCCTGAACGGAGGCCTCTCTAGTGCTGTGCTGCAGGCGCACAGCCTTCCCCACTTCTCCCAAGCTTCCCACCAAGTCGTTTTCTTCCCCGTTCTGTGCCCTGCAGATAAACTGTGTGACCTTCCCTCACCCAGACACGATGCCGGAGCAGCAGCTGCTGAAACCAACAGAGTGGAGTTATTGTGACTATTTCTGGGTAAGTGGTGGCTCAGTTTGCCCCTCACGGTGGCCCTGAAGACCACCAGTGGACACCCAGGAGGGGCGTGAGGGGCTTGGCGTTTGCAATAGGGGGGCCTCTCCTGTTGGAACCTAAAGGACTGGTGGCAGATCGAGCATACAAGGCAGGAACTTAGGGCCTCTTGGAATCCAGGTTGTTCCATAATTCTCCGAGAATTGGCGGGGTTTTCATTTGTGGGAATCCAGACACCATGGGCAGAAAGCAGGTACACCACAGGGCCGCCTTCTCTGCTGTTCAGTAAAGGCAGGAGGCGAGAGTCAACTTCATTAAATGAATCTGGGTTCCAAAGCTGCTCTGTCACACTTGTAGGTGACCTTGAACAAGGGCTTTACCCCTTGGGCCTCCTCATTTCCATTGAAGTCACCAGGAGGTAGGGCTCCAGGATCTGTAGCTTTGAGGATTCTGTGGTTCCAGGACGTCTGCACATTATTTCATGGGCACAGAGTCTCCGTTTCATCAGATACACAGAGCTCTGGAGTGGGTGGGATGGCAGCTGCTCCAGGCCACTGACCTGCACACTTAAATGGCTTCCATGGTAGCCAAACTGGTGACCTTTCAGTTTACAGGATGACACTCCAACGAATTGAGCCACACCAGCCAGGGCCCAAATTGTATACACACATGCGCACACGCGCGCGCACACACACACACACACACACACCACCTTTGGCAAAAACTTATTAAGGAACAATAAGTAAAATTAAAAAATAAAAACATTTTTTCACAAAGGGGTACCGAATGGATCATCACCCCTTCTCAGATTTGCTAACCAAGTATTGGATAAAAGTGCTTCTTTGTTTTTACAAAATCACTATGCATTAGATATTCAGTGGTCCCTCTTGCCCTCAGAAGGGGTAACTCCTGCTGGCCCAGCTGTGTTTCTTCCAGGTCTTCTGAGGTCTGTGCAGAGGCAGCAAACTTTATAAAAGGGTCTCTGGCTTTGGCATCAGAGAGGCCTGGGTGGGGGAACTCAGAGGCGAGGGTCGGCAGGGTTCAGAGTACAAGACTTCACAGGCCCTGTAAGCACATTGGGGTTTATTCTGTTTGCAGCAGGAAGATACTGGAGGGCTGTTGGCAGAAATGTGATGTGATCTGATTTCTGTGTGTCGGGCAGGGAGGACCGTGAACCAGCAGGGGTGCAAGTTAGCAGGTGGGCACAGGACACCAGGAAGGAGCTGTGGAGATGGAGAAAGGACCTGGGTTTGGAGACCTCACCCCTAAAAAGGAAAGAAACAGCGTTCAGGGGAGAGTAGCTGGAGCCCCTGGAATGGGCCCCAGGGGCCTGGGGATTGGCGTGTGGGGGTTGTGTGGAGGTATTCAGCAGCATCTAAAAGCTCACCACATGTGAGTTAGTCCTCACCTTCATTCAAGGTCTGCAAGGACTCTGAGGCACACTCGAGCAGTTTGTCTCCCTGACTGTCCAGGCCCTTTCCTCTTAGAGAAAGCTTTCTGCCCACGCGGTCAGCAAAGCCTACTTCTTCAGGCTGGTTTCTCCCGGGGTGGAGAATCGCTCAGCATATTATTCATCCTATGTGGGAGCAAACTGGGGCCCAGTATTTTGGGTAATTTTTCTTTTGCTTCTTTAACAAGATGTAGCATTTACATGATGAAAGGCACCAATCCTAAATGTGCTGGAGAGACTTAATTGGCCAGAGCAGCCCCACGGTGACAGGGTGCACTCCGGTGGTAGTGACCTCCCTGTTACGAGAGGTGCCACAGTGCAGTCAGAGGGTTGCCAAGGTGAGGACCGCATGTTGGGAGGGAACGCCACAGGGTGTCCATAAAAACTTCCATCTGCTCTACAGGGGTTCTCTCCAGGCATCACCGGCCCCGTTCCATTCCCCTCCCTTAAAATGTCCATTCTGGGATCTTAGTGATGTAGCCCACTCCTGTTTCAGGGGCGGGGCCCAAGGACGCAACCTAGGGTCGTAGACCTGACCATGGCACCCGGTGGCTGAGCCGACCCGGGGCCAGGATTGCCACTGATGCGCCTGCACCTCTCTGTGGTGTCGAAGGGCACATTTTTAACTCCTTCCATTAAATATCAAAGCATTTGCCCCTGGAGTCCTAGTGTGTGAAGGCTGTGATGGAGGAGGTGCCAGTCGGGACCTGGGAGCTCTGAGGGTCCTGTGGCTGTGAGGGCTGTGATGAGTGTCCAGCAGGGCAGGCCAGGCTTGGAGAGGACCGGGTATCCGAAGGGGTTGGGGGAGAGCAGAAAGACATATTCCAGAAGTGCATGTGAAACAAAACAAAAGCATTTAATTTTGAAATTTGAGGAGTATTTGCTTGCAAAGCAAATTAGGTACTAAGTTTCCATTTCATTGACTTGGCCATCTTTTCTGAGTCCTGACTTTCAGTTAAAATAGTAGATAGTATTTACTGAGTACTGAATATGCGCTGAGCCATTTCCACGTATCTGTCCTGAAGTGACCCTATGTGGAGGGTGCCATTATGTCACCAGTGTCCCTGATGAAGCAGCCCAGGCATGGAGTGAGCGAAGCACTTGTAGCTGAGGTCCCCCAGCTGGGATGCCGGTGCTGGCCGCCTGCCCTTTCCCACTCTGGTTTCCCTTCGATCCACTTTCTCTCCAGAAGCCACTGTGATCTTCTATGAATGCACATTGGAAGATGTTCCTGCCTGGCCAGTGCAGGAAGCTGACAGGAGATGGGATGGTTTAGGGTTAGGGGCACTCGCACCCAAGGGCGCAGACTGCTGCAGCTTGGAGTCGGGATGCCAAGACTCCCCAGAGGATCAAGCCAGCCTCAGCAGCCACCTGATTGAAAGTATCAGGCCACTGGGGATCAGACCTGTGCTCTTGGCCACCTGCCCCTCTCCTCTTCTTTGCAGGGTGGGAGGATGAGGGGCATGGACGTGGGATGGCAGCAGCAGTAAGGGCTTGAGCATCAGAGAGCACATGGGAGCAGGGCACTAGGAGTGTCACGAGTCAGGGCAGCCAAGGCTGGCACTTCTGTCCTCCCTCTCAGGCTGCCAGGCCTGTCTGGGTCCCCTCAGGGTCTGTCTTCCCTGTGCTCTGTTCCCAGCAGTCACCAAAACTCTGCTTCTGTTTTCTTTCTAGGCCGATAAAAAGGACCCCCAAGGCAACGGCACCGTGGCTGGGTTTGAACTGCTGCTGCAGAAGCAACTGAAGGGCAAACAGATGCAGAAGGAAATGTCGGAATTCATTCGGGAAAGGTGAGGCCTGGGCCCTCCCAGCTCTGGGCACTGGTGACAGTGCCTGCATTGGCCTCTTAGCCTGAGGGAACTGAGAGCAGCAGGAGCGAGCCTTGCACACCCAGCGCTGGGTGTGGTTAGCACCAAGGGGAACTTGAGACTGGAGTCACAAACTCATGGCCCTCAGGACAGATCTGGCCAGCAAATGTGTTGTGTGGCCTGTGCAGTGGTTTTAAAGATTTGAACCAACATTTTTTAAATTTGTAGATTTGTACATTAAGATCTGGATATCTAGCATCTCTGGAGAAAGCAGTAAGTGGCTCTACATCCCCAGTTTGCCTCAGTCTCCACCACTCCCTTCTGTCCCCACACAGACTACTTGGCTCCTCTACTTACCCATGTGGCCCTCCTGGAGCCCTGTCCCTTTGCATGAAAAAAAAAGGAGAGTGTTACGTTTCTGTTCATCTTTGAACCAAATCTGTGTCCTGGACCTGGGCATACAGAACCACACCCCCTTCCCCTTCCCCACTCCCAGCCCTGCCTCAGGGAGCTCAGTCCAATGGGAGAGTCAGCGAAACTGAGCTTGAAAAGTGCAGGGACTATAGTAGTGGTTTAGATGAACCAGGTGAGAAGACAATGAACTCAGCCTGATGGAAATAGGAAAAGCTACAAAAAGAAGTTCTTTTTCTGTCTCCCTCTCTCCAAGTGTTGAAACCCTGGTAAACACACCTCACATGCACTCACACCTGCCCCCCCCAACACATACGCTACCCCCCTTCACACACACACACACACACACACACACACACACACACAACTTCCTTTCTGGAGTTCCCAGAGTACACTGGAAATATTTGTAGTAATTGGCAATACATTTTAAAATATTTCTTTTGTAATTATAACAACAACAAGCAAGTAATAATTCTTTGGCATCTTAAAGCACCTCTTCTTTTACTAGCCCCATTTTCTGTTTGTATAATGAAATCTTTATTTTGTGACCCATTAAACTGGTAAGGAATTGAGAGGTTGCATAGCTCAGGTGCAAAAAAAAAATAGCATAAAACAGGCAAATAGGAAAATGGTTGTAAAAGCTGTAGTTTGAACACATTTATGGCTTGTACTTTTGCAAAAATATCAGGTTTGCAATAAATTAGAAACTGCCAGTTGAGAACTCTTATCTTTCCTGAGATGTATAATTTCTCTCAGTCCACCTTATGGTCTCATAGGGAGGACCTGTCAGAGCCAGGAGAGGTGCAGAGTGGGGAGCACGCAGGGTAGGGGACAGGTGAAGGAAGGGGGCAAGTGATGGTGGTTGGCTGCAGCCTCAGCATGAGGAGGTGGGCAGGAGGTGCAGATGAGGCAGGCGCTGGCACTAGGGGTGATGTTCTGGAAGCAGATGGGCCTCCTGCCTGGGGTATGTGGTTGTCCTTGAGACCTTTGGAGACTTGCAGCAAAGAGTGCGACCTGGTAAGATCTACCTTCCAGAGAGAGTTCTTGGCTATAGGCTGGAAGCTGTGGGCTGGCTGCTCCTCTCACCCCGAGAAGGGCGGGGCTTGAGGCAGAGTGAACAGAGGAAGTGGTGACTGCAGAAGACCTGGGGACAGCCAGAGAGGCCCCTGAGTATGAAGCAGTGCCAGAAGGGACAAGATTGTGGGTCTCTCAGTGCCGAATCATGAGCTAATAATGACTCGGTTAGGCTGTCCTTCTGAGAGGCAGGAAGCAAGCGCTGCAGCCCCGGGAATGTCTCTGGAGTTCTCCCCATTTGCCAAGTGATGGTAAACACCCCCCGGAGAGTTGCCTTGGAAGAGTGTTGGGGCCTGGAAGCCAAATTCAAGGCAGCTTCCCTCTCTGGGGAAGTAGAATCAGCCAGTCTGGGCCCTGCCTGGTTTCCATGGAAATACTCATGCCCTGCAGGCTTGACAGTTACAGCCATTGGGGGCTGGGAGACAGTAAGGAGCACTTCTGTTTATGCCAACTTGGAGGGCCTAAACCCAGAGCTCTGGGGCTAGAAGGGAGAAGGCAGCACTGGGCGTCCCTGTGGCCTGTCACGAGTCACATTCATTCACTTAAGGGTCCCCTGTGTATCCAGCCTGCGTTAGGGGCCGTGCAGATGACAGCTTTTCGTCTGCACAGCCTGGAGAGACAGCTGGGAACAGCCTATTTGGTGGATGAGGAGGTTCAGACTATTTCATGTATTCATTCCTTCAACAGGTATTTACTAAGCACCTACTATGTGCCAGACAGACCAGAGCTACGTACTTTCAGAGCTTATGGTCCGATGGTCTCCTTACCTGGTTAAGAAGTGGCAGGGCTGCAGGTTAGACACAGAGTCTAGCACTGCAGAGCTGACGTGGGATTTCCTCCCTTTGCAGGATAAAGATTGAAGAAGAATACGCGAAGAACTTAGCTAAGCTCTCCCAGAGCTCCTTGGCTGCACAGGAGGAAGGGTGAGTGGGGAGGATGGTGATGGGAATGGGGAGGGAGAGGAGGCACTCAGGAATGGGGACCCATTTCCACCCACCACTGATTGCTGCCATGGGCCTATGGGATAGGGAAGTCTCCATAAGTCTGGCTCCAGGTGGGTGCCCAGGACTCCAGCTGTGGGCACGCAGGTTCAAGGTTAGCACTCCCACACTTGTGGCCGGGGGCTTCCTGCCATATGCCGGAGTGTGTCTGGCCCCTCTCTGCCCTGTCCCCTGGGAGCTGGGCACTAGCCCCCAGATGCCCACACCTGCTCCCCTTTCTCTGAGAGCAGGCTGGCAGGAAACTGGGTGTGAGAGGATTCTGCATCCATCCCCCTATGTAGAGTTCTCTCCTGTGGCCCGGGACCAGGCTCCCCTCCCCTTCCAGCTGAACAGTCCAGACCTCCTTGGGTGGGACTGGGCTGGGGAGGCTGAACCCCACCCTCCCAGCCACAGAAGGATCCCTAGTGAGGGAAGACTGCAGCCTTCTCTGCTCTGTCTTATTAACAGTGAGTTTTGGCCTGCTAGTGGGGATATAAAATGGTACAGCTACTGTAGAAAGCACCTTGGCGCTGCCGCAGAAAAACTAAACCTAGAATCACTGTATGACCCAGCAGTCCCACTCATAGGTTTATACCCAAGAGAACTGAAAACAGATATGAAAACAAATGCATGTACATGAATGGTCATAGCAGCCCAATTCACAATAGCCAACAGGTAGAAACAACCCAAATGTCTATCAAAGAATGAATGAATAAACAAGTTATGATATGTCCATATTGGGTATAGGATGGGATATTATTCGGCCTTAAAAAAGAATGAAGTACTGATCCATACTACTATATGGATGAAGTGAAAGAAATAGGACACTGAGGTTGCATGTTATATTATTCCATTTATGTGAAATGTCCAAAATAAAGTCATAGAGGCAGAATGAAGATTGGTGGTTGCCTAGGTTTGGGAGGAGGGGGGATGGGATGGGATTAACCGCTTAATGGGCACGAGGTTTCTTCTCATGGGGGGCAGGGTGTACAAATCTGTTCAGCTGTGGCAGCACAATATAATTGGCTGGGGGGCTTAAAAACCAGAACTTTAGTTTATCATGGTTCTGGGGGCTGGGAGCTCAACACCACAGTGCCAGCAGGGCTGGTGTCTGGGGAGAGCCTGCCTCTTCTTCGCAGGTAGCGACCCTCTGGCTATGGCCTTTCCCAGTAAGGAGAGAGAGCGGGTGCCTCAGTGTCTCCTCTTATGAAGGCTCCAATGCTGTGGGATCAGGGCCCTACCCTTATGACCCCACATAACCTCAGTTTCTGTTGTAAGGGGCCGTCTCCAACTAACAGTTGCACTGGGGGTGAGGGCCTCAACACGAGAATTTAAGGAGACACAAACATTCAGTCTATAACAGGGTGAATAAGATGGCTCAGCCCTGGCTGGTGTGGCTCAGTGGTTGAGTACTGGCCTGCAAATCAAAGGGTCACCTGTTCGATACCCAGTCAGGGCACATGCCTGGGTTGTGGGCCAGGTCCCCAGTAGGGAGCACACAAGAGACAACCACACTGATGTTTCTCTCCCTCTCTTTCTCCCTCCCTTCCCCTTTGGCTAAAAGTAAATAAAATCTTTTAAAAAACAACAACAAAAAAAAGGTTTGGAACTAGACAGACCTGGTAGCTGCATAACATGGTGAACATACTACATGCCACTGGATTGTCCTCATTAAAATGCTTGCTTTTATGTCATGGGACTCCCACTCAATAATAAACACAAAGACTCAGGAAGTCAGAGCTGAAGGGTTCCTGAGACCCCCGCCTGGTCCAGCCTCCCTCCAATGCAATGTCTGAATCTCCTCTGAGAGGAAGGGGGCGTTCTGTCGTGGGACAGTTGTGGCTGCCAGAGAGCTGTGATGTTAAACAAGTCCAGATCTGCTCGCATGGCTTGAAATCCCTCAGGGGACAGGGCTTTGCCAACCAAATGTGGCTTTAATTAAGGCCTCTGCATGGGCTCACGGTGCAGCCAGCAGGCTGCCTCCGAGTGGTTTTCACCAACCTGCTGGCCACAGGTCACAGGGCGGCCCTGCAGGGCCAGTGTCTCTTCCACAGACACCGATGAGGCTACCTCCAGCCGCTTCTGCTCCATGCACTGGGCTGAGTGCAGGAACATATCGGAATTGCCCTACCAGCCTGGGCAGGGGGCTTTTCTAGGCATCTCCATGCCCTGCAACACCAGTGCTGCCCCAGAGTCTTCCCACTTCCACCTCCTCAGCCTGGGCTGCCACCAAGGACACTGCATCCTGCCAATATGCACAGCATATGCTCCCAGCTGAACGGGCCAGGCCTGCACCACCGTGCTGCACACACATGCACCTACAAACTTAGGACAACAACATACACTCACATATGTGCATCAACACCACTCACCGCCAACCTGGGGGTGAACACATGCCCCTCACCATTGCACAGGCACACTAGCCCCATGCACACACTGCTTCCAGCAGGCACTGTCGGGGGCAGGATGACCTAGTGGGCCCCCACCACAGTGTGCAGCGGTGCTGTTTTGCATTTACACACAGCTTTGGACAGTAGCCCAGTCCACCCTGAAACCTTCAAAGTGCAATGCTGGAGCCTAGAAATGAGGGGCAGCCTAGGAAGGTGCCAATGCAGAGACTCGAGCTGTTTTTGCCACTTGAGGACTGGGTCCAAATTAGATTCCACAGGATATGTGCACATTGGTGAGTAAACAGACTTAGGTTGTTCATCTGCCTTCAGTGTTTCTCTCCTGCGTGGAAAGGAAATGGGATTTGGGTCTTCTCTGAGTGATAATTGTGACAGTGTCATGCATTTTGATTTGGCATGCCTCAGACTGTATATTGAAACAGAAATATAGCTCAGATTTTATTTTTTTTCTTTTTGTCAACCTCTCATCAGCTGAAAGATTTCCCTTCAAATGAAAAAAATTGTAAATTGCTTTATTCTAAATTGTGAAGTGGCTCCAAGAGGCCTGGAATATTAGGGCTGGCTCAGACCCATTTTTTAAAGATTTTATTTATTTTATTTTTAGAGAGAGGGGAAGGGAAGGAGAAAGACAGAGGGAGAAACATCCACCTGAGAGAAAAACATTGATCAGTTACCTCTCACATGCACCCCAGCCAGGGACTGGGCCATAACCTAGGCACGTGCCCTGACATGGGAATCAAACCAACGACCTTTCGCTCTGCAGGACAACACTCAACCAGCTGAGCCACGCTGTTCAGGGCTTAGACAGACCAGTCAAATGTATAGAGTGACATCCTCCCACCTGTGAATATCTGTCCTGGAGGTGGGGATGAGGACATTGTTCTGATCCTGAAACTGTGCTTCCTCCTGTCCACCTAATAGCCCTCAGATGACCCTTTCAGGCAACCACAGTGGTCATTGTACCAGTTACTGACCACGTGCTCTGCTGGTGGGGGATGTGTGGATTCCCAGTACTACCCAGGGCCTTTGTGCCTGGTGGGCTCTTCGAGTGTGGCTCAGCTGCAGGGACGACCCCTCCACCTCCATCCCCCTTTAGTCAGGTTCCCTCCTCTCCTCAGACCGGACTACATCTGTCAGCTGCGTACCGCAGTGACGTTCACTTTCAGTCCGTGATGCATCTTGAGATAGGCCATGTGTATGGCATGAGGTCAGGGTCAAGATGCTTTTCCCCTACAGATGTGCAGTCATGCCTGCACCATTTGTTAGAAGACTGACTGTGCTTCTTTGAGATAATTTGGCACTCTTGTTGCACATCGATCACCCACATATGTGAGTCTGTTTCTGGACCTGGTATTGCATGCCCTCATCTGTGTGACGACCTCCTCTGCTTCCACCCCCTCCACACCTTGCCCTGGACCTGCTGCCCTCCTCCTGGAGCAGGTGAGGAGCCAAGCCACCCCGAGCTGCCCTCACACAGCTCTCTGGAGCTCGGAATCTGAGTCCAACAGAAATCTCAACAGCTTGGGTGGCCCCATTTCTCACTCTGTCTCTTTTCTGGTGGGTTCCCTGGCTGACAGCACCCAAGGGGACCCCTCTTTGCCAGCAGGCTCCTAGATAAAATGAGTCAGTCATCTCCCATAAACACCCACCTCAGCCTGAGCCAGCACCGCAACCAGACAGGCCTGGGCCATGATCAGAGGGATCAGTTCTGTTCTCTTGGGTAATTCTCAGAGCTGCTGGCTTCTCCGCGAAGCCCAGGAGGCTTGCAGCAGGCTCTCTTTTAATCAGCTTTTCCACTTGAGTTTAATGAATTCTCTGGGGAAGTGGCTTTTTGACAAAATGAAGTGAACTGCACATTTAGCCTGGGTTTACTGGCTGGGTGTAGAGGTCTCGAGCGAGGTCTCGGGATCATTTGGAAGGTTGGTGAGGTTGCGGAGTTGCGAATAACCTGCAGTCCAGGGAGCTCAGGAGATTGCTCCTACTTGAAGCATCCTGGAGTGGAAAGTGGTTTGGCGCAGAGGACCTGCCATTCTCCGGTAAAGCTGTCTGCAGCACTGGGGCTCACAGTTCAGAACTGGTGCCAGCGAGGGCCACCCCCCTGCTGAAGATGATGGAGGGCCTGCTCTGCCACACAGGCATCCCCAGGAGGTCCCTAACCCAGATGGCCCTCCTTTGCTCCTCCTGGAAGCCAGGCTGTCGGAGGCTGGCCTGCAAGCAGGTTATGTGGCGCCTTCCATGTGAGGAGGGCTGTGCCCTGGGAAGGCATCTGTCCTCCTTCTGTGATTTACCAGCAGGTGTTCATACCTCATCAGCAAACCAGGGAGGGCTGACGGGAAGGCAGGGAGTGAGCAGTCAGCCTGCTCTGGAGGCCTTCCCTGCCAATGCACCCCACCGTGCTTGCACCCCCTAAGTTCTCTGTGTTTCTGGATGACTTTCCCGGTCTACCACAGTCCATTCTTGCAGCTCCTTGGCTCGGTCTGGGATGGCTTGGGTGGAAACGCAGTGATCAGGTTTGTCTTGTGCCTGGCCTTTGCCCATCCAAGCCCCAGCCTCCAGGGTGGTATGCTTCCTCCGGACTCTTGGGGGTCTCAGGCGTCAGTCACTGTCTGCGAGCCTGACAGTCTGCTTTGTGTTGCAGCTCCCTGGGAGAAGCGTGGGCGCAGGTGAAGAAGAGCCTCGCAGATGAGGCGGAAGTTCACCTCAAGTTCTCTGCCAAGGTAACCACTTCCCTTGGCCTCTGTAGGCTGGTCTTCCATGGAGGTGCACTGCTGAAGTCTTCCCAGCTGTCTCTCCCCTGTGTAGTGTTGACCAGATTCTGTGATGTGAGCTCCAAGAGCTGGAAAGAGATACACAGTGGCACTGCATTGGACCATACAGCACAGCAGTGTCAGGAGCAAGAAGTTTCCATCAAGGGCACAGGTGGTAGTAAAACATCATGAGGAAGTGATGCATGCTGAGAACCTAGGACCCTTGTTTTTAATATAATTTAGTAATTTTAAATGTAGATCATTTAATTTCTTTTTAATCCTCACCTGAGGATATGTTTATTGATTTTAGAGAGGGAGTAGGGAGAGAGAGAAGCATTGATGAGAGAGAAACATCAATCACTTGCCTCCCGTACCCTAGAGATCGAACCCACAACCCAGGTCTGTGGTCCAACCAGGAATTGAACCCACAACCTTCTTGGTGTATGGGACAATGCTCCAACCAACTGAGCCACCCAGCCAGGGTGAGATCATTTAACTTTTAATACTGACTGTCTTTAGCAACCAACTCATAAAATCCCTACAGATTTAGCACTTGGGGCCAGTATCAGCCTCCCCAGCATCCTTCTGCAAGGAGGGCAGAGTCTGCTCAACTCCTCAGGTGAACTTGTGAATGGTGGAAGCCAACTGGGCTTTCAAAAGAATGCACTTTCTACTTCTTGGTGTTCCGAGAGACTGCACTATGCTAAGAGAAATTTTTTTCTTTTTTTTTTTTTTTCGGTTTTGTTTTGTTGATTTTTTTAACGAAATTTCAGACCAGGTAAGTGAGGCTTCTGTCACTGGATCTAAAGACTCAAGCTCCATGACCCTGAAGTTCTGTTCTGTTCGCTCTGCACTCGGTGCTCAGGGTCGCGCCCAGCGCATGGTGGATGCACTGTCACTGTTTTCTGAAGCAATGAATGAATGGTGCCCTCCCACCATCTCCTCTCGACTCCTTACTCCTTTCAAGCCCCCTTTCTCTCAGGGTTTCTCCGTGTTTCCAAATGACCCTCTCTTCCCCACTCCCTGGCTCATACCCACAAATTCTCTCTTAGGCTTCTAGCCACTTTTCAGGGGGAAAAGTAAACCAAGTGTCTGAGTGAAATAATTCACACTCAAGTGTGCATGGCTGGTGGGGCGCCCACAAACATGCTTGCTCTTAAAAGGGAGAGAGACCTGGGAGAGCACGATTCCCAGTGACCTGGGCCCCCCGGGGTCCACACTCTTCCTTCCACCCTCCCACCATCACCAGGCAGGCACCAGGGCCTGAGAGGCCACTCGGACCAAGTGCTTAACCTCTCTGAGCCCCCATTTTTAAATTAGGGGACACACTACCTCCTTTACTACTGGATGGTACTATCCCCCCCAGCGATAGCTACTGCTTCCTGGGGCTTCCATGCTCTGTGCTCATGGGTCCTGTCTCTTTTCTGGTGCTTTCCCCAGAGCAGTCGCAACTCTGGGCACTGGGGTCTCCACGGATGTGCACTGGAGGACAGGAGCCTGGCCTTGTGCTGGACCTCCCCACCACCTCTCACAATAGTTCCCTGCACACAGAGAGCAGAAGGAATGACTCAAGTAGCTGAGATGCGTGAGGGGTGGAAGGAGAAACAGTGCTACACTACCTCCTCACTGTTCAAGGATGTTAGTACCCTGAGAGCCAGCTGACACCCAGGTGGGAGTGAGAATTCCTGGCTGACAGGAGCACACTCATCTCTGGCCCCAAACACTTCAGGAGGAAATTGCCGCTCAAGCTCCGGGAGAGAAGGGAGGTCAGTGGATTAGGCTCTTGTCTGCGTCTGCCTCATATACACAGCAGCAGCAAGCTATTTTTAGGCTTCAGGTTGGGAGTAGCATTCCCTGTAGGTCTCTCTTCTGTCCCAGCCCCCAGCAGGTCTGTTTTCTGGGGATAGAGCCCTCCTTTGACTGGAGCCTGAATGGGAGAGGGACGGGAAGGCTGCCCTCGGAGCCAGTGGGGCTGGGAGCTGCCTGCGCCTCTGAAAGGGCCTCTTGCTGGGTCCCCGGTCCTAGGGGCATTTACTTCCCTTCAGCGGGACCCCTGCTTTTCCATTGTTCATAGAGTGCTCAGCTGACCAAACATTCTCCGACACTCTGTTTTTCTCTACTTCCTTTTACTGACTACTTCTGGGCACCAGAGGGTTTTCTCCACGGTGGCCAGTTCTGACCCCAGTGGGGTGTCCTGCAGTGTAACTCAATTCCATTCTAACGGCCTAGAAGTGGCATCAGACCCCACAGGGTAAGGCTTAGCCCCATAAGACTGCCAGTTGCAAGCAGTGGGTCCCCAAGTTACCTACACTTGCGTTGACTTGGCTACAAATCGGGGGCTCTTGCAACCCCCTCCTCAGGTTTGATGCTTTTCTAGAACAGCTCACAGAACCCAGGGAAACACTTACTTGGGTTTATCAGTATATTGCAGATTCAAGGATATGAGGTGATGCAGGTGAACAGCCAGATAAAGAGCTACGGAGGGCAAGGTCTGGAAGGGTCCTGAGCCCAAGAGCTTCTGCCCCTGTGGAGTTGGGTGTGTCACCCTCATGGCACCTGGATGTGTTCACCAACCCAGAAGCTCCCTGGATACTGTAGTGTAGGGATCTTTAGGGAGACGTCACCACGCAGGCACAATCGATTCCTAAATTACTCTCCAGCTTCTCTCCCCTCCCCGGAGGTTGGGGAGTGGGGCTGAAAGTTCTGAGCTTCCAGTTGTGGCTTGGTTTTTGTGCTGACCAGCGCCCCTCCTGAAGCAATTTGGGAGTCCACCAGGAGTCACCTCATTAGAACAAAAGAGGCTCCTATCACCCAAGAAATTCCAAGGGATTCAGGAACCAGGTCACTGACCAAATATTAAAACAAAAGATGACCCTGGCACTTTTTCACTTAGAAAATCACAAAGGTCTTAGGCACTCCAGCCAGGAGCTGAGAACAAGCACTGAAATATAAGTATTTGTTGCCGTATCATAGAATCTCAGTCCTGTAAGTGTTCTCGATGGTTACATGCAGCATAGAACTCATCTCTCACCTTTATCAACCACCCTGCCAGACAGCACCTCCGCCTCACACAAGAAGGGGTAGGGGAGGCCACCTCCCAGCTGAGAGGGCTCAGCCGCTGGAGAGGCGATGGAGAGCACGGAGTGAGCTGGGTGCTCAGCCCGCAGGCCTTTCTCCAGAGAGATCAATGGCGTTTAAAGCATAAGCGCTGTTCTGAGGCGCTCTCTGCCCTCTCTTAGGGGCAGTCCTGGGTGGTACAGGAAGTTGCCGATGGAAACCTTTGGAAGAATGTCAACATCAACCAGGTTTTTCTCTGATAACCACTACTGCTTCCGGCAGTGGTCAGTGTCAGTGGCCTTAGGCAATCGCCAAGGCAGCCCAGGGGTTGCATGGCTATTCTCTGAAAAGAAAGGAGCTCCCAGGATGTGTTGTTTGCCGTGGATAGTAGGGCTCCTTGTGCCCCAAACCCATTTTAAGCCCTGCCCCAAAAGGCTCATTGAAGTTCCACTGTTCCGTGTCAGGAGTAGGAGCTCTTTAAGAAGTGCGGTTTTGCTAAGGCAGACTCTCAGGCTTTTCTAGTCTGCTAGCTGAAGCCATTGTTAACAGCAACAGGCTGCTGAAAAGAAGTGATTGCTCTGTAATACAGAGGAAGTTATACCTGGCTCTGCCGAAGAAGGGAGAACAGAAAAATCCCTTGTGATGGGAGAACACCTAGTTCTCCCATGATTAGAGGCCATGCATGCAGTCAGAAGAGTGTGGGGCGGCGTGGGGGCCCGGAAGCACAAGTTTAAGTCAGCGCCATCACCAATGAGCTTCCTGACCTTGGGCAAGTCACTTCGCATCCCTGAGCTTCCATTTTTTTTCATTGGAAACCTATTTGTTGGAGACCCACAGTAATACATTTTACATGGCCCCCACAACACGCAGGTGTGCACACCCAGTCTGCACATGCAGACAGGCACATGCGTACAGAGCCGACACACACAATTCATGAAACAGGGCTTGTCTTTCTTCCTGCAGTGCATTTCACATTAACATTTTCCTCATGTCTGGTCCATTCCTATCAAAAAGCTGTCCCTGATCTGCTAAACTGATTTCACCACTCCTAGCTGCCCACCGTTGGAAAAACCCTGGGCCAGATAGTCTCTGACACTGTTTGCATCTTGAGATGTCTCCTCTTGTCTTCAGGGTGGGGTGCAGAGGGGAGGAGGATGAGCGTGGGGTTCTACACGGGCAAGCAGCGTGGACCCCACAGCCCGTCCCCTCTAGGGCAGGCCAGTCAGGAGCCCACCAGGACCGGCTCCTGAGGACTTGGGACTCCAGCTAAACAAAGACACTTGGCAGTTTAAAATGAGTATGGAAAGATACCCAGTCAACTTTTTTTGAAAAATTACATCTTTTAGAAGTACTTAAAATATAGAGACAGGATCCGTGGGACTGAGTCGCTGCTGACAGCTGGCAGCATTGTGTTTCAGAATGTCATTCGGAAATTGGGGAGGCACTTTGCATTGTGGACAGAGCCTGGGGCTGGGCCCAGGAATCCCGAGGGATCTGAAAAGCCCTTCCAGGTCACTCCTGGGCGCAGTGAAGTCTAGAAACCAACTCTCTTTCGAGGTGCTCAGAAGGAGACCCCAGAGCTACTGAGTCAGTCTGCCCAGTTCACCCTCACAGACCCCCAGTTCGGAGCAGGTTGCCAGTGCCACTGAGCAGCACGAGCTCCTCAGCAAACACCTGAAGCATGTGGGAAAGGGGTTTGAGGGTCCTCCATAGCTTTCCAGTTTGTAGCATCTTGCAAATTGCCACCACCAGGTGGGGGTGTTTTCCTGTATAAGGAAATTTGCCTGGGCTCAAAAAATAATAGCGGACGAAGACGATTACAGCTAACGTGAGGAGGAGAGGGGCACTCGGGGGCACTCCAGTGGCCTGCTCCCTGTTGGCCTTCGAAGGCCACCCAACAACAAAGCTGTATAGTCTTGTCTCCCAGGGCATGGGGCTCTGAAGATCTTGTTACTCCCCCATGTAGCGAAAGGGCCCTCACTCCACACCAGCTCCAGCCAGATGTGGACACAGTAGTGGCCCAGTCAGCAAGGCTCCTGCCCACTTGGTGCTCAGTCACGTGTAATCGGTTCTGTAGAACTGGGAACCCTTAAGTCCTCAAGGTCGCCCAAAAAAAAGTTCGGGTAACAGGAGCCTGGTGAGGAGGAAGAGAAAAGTCACAGAATCCCAGAGTGATGTGTGCTGGGGGGAGGGGGGATGATCATCCAACCAGGGAAGTTCAGCTGTGCTTTCCACGGGCGCTTCTGGGGCAGGTGGCGGCCCAGGGGCTGGAAGGCCGAGTCAGGAGGGCCCAGGAGCCCACTCGGGTGGGGGCTGTAGGAGTCAAGTCAGGGGTTCGGTGGGGAACTGAGAGGCTCTTTCAAAAAGGAATGGGGGACAGGGAATAAAATAAAAGGAAAATGCTTGAAAAATACCACCTGCTCCTCTCAGAGCATAAACCTCTTTCTCTGGCCTTCAGAGTGTGCGTGGGCTGGGACCAGAGCCAGTCTCCAGGCAGACCAGCCTGCCAGCAAGCCCTCCCTGGGCACAGTGTACTCGAGGGGCCTGTGAGTTTCCGGCAGGCCCTGGGAGGTTCCCACCATCTACGACTCTACTGGATTGTACCCTTCCTGTCAGACTGGGCTGCTGCCCCAGTCCCCACACCCACCTGCAGGGATGGGAAAGTATCCTCCCTCTTCACGTGCTTGTAGCTGACACCCTGGGGTCCTGAGGATGTCCCCCATGCTCTCCTCAACAGCTCCACAGCGAGGTAGAGAAGCCCCTAATGAACTTCCGTGAGAACTTCAAGAAAGACATGAAAAAGTGTGACCACCACATCGCTGATCTCCGCAAGCAGCTCGCTAGCCGCTTTGCTGCCGTGGAGAAGGTGAGGAGCACAGGACCCTGGGTGGGGTCTCCTGGAAGGCCATGGGCTGAGTGGGATACGTGTGTGGGTGGGGGGGCTCCAGCCCGTACCTGAGGTACCCACCTCCCCACCCCTCACCCAGCCAGAGATCAGGAGCTGCTGCCCTGTGGCTCTCAGACCCCTGCCCAGAGGGCCAGTGGGAGCAGGAGAGGCTCACCTGCCACAGGAGATGTAGGGGTCTCCGGCAGGCACCTGAGACATGGGACAGGAGCCTGGATGTGCTTCTGGTCCACTTGTGCCCCTTTGAGCCTCACCTATCAAGTTCTCTCCTGACTGAATCACAGCTCCCCACCAAAGTCTGTGAGGTCTGAGCTAGGTGGGAGCTGCTAATGGCCAGCACTGGGGGGAAGGGGACTCTCCTGGGGGGGCTGACTGCAATGGCTTAGGGTGCAGGAAAAGGAGGGGCATATGGCTGCAGGCACCCTAGAATCTGTCAGCAGCCACCACCAAGGGGCCCCTCCTGCCCCAGACAGGGGTGCTGGTACTACCATCTGCTAAGTACTACTGAGGGGTGATGGAGATGACCTTGTGCTTCCTCCCTATCCCTGCCCAGGCTGAGATTTTAGGACTGCCCATACGTGCACGTGCTCCAACAGAACCCTGGTCTGAGAGACTCACTGCAGGCCAAGTCAGGATCTGGTTGAGAGAGATAGGGATGGGTATGGCAGCCTCTGCATGGCGACTAACTGGCTGAGTGATGCTTGTCTAGCAACTTAGCCTGTCAGAGCCACGTGGTATCACCCACAGAAGCAGGCAAAAGAAAGGACACTTCCCTAGGAAATGGGCAAGCCAGGCGCTGTGGCCCATGAGGCCCTCCTGGCTCTGAGCCCTGTGAACAGCCTTCCCATGCCCTTGGCCCCCAGGCCCGGAAGGCCCTCACAGAGCGGCAGAGAGACCTGGAGATGAAGACCCAGCAGCTGGAGATCAAACTGAGCAACAAGACGGAGGAGGACATCAAGAAGGCGCGGAGGAAGTCCACGCAGGCTGGTGAGTGCATGGCCATGGCCCACCTGTCCTCACCTGATCCGGGAAGCCCAGCAAAGCTAAGGCTGGGGAATGGAGTGCCTGGGAGCTGCAGCCCACAGGGGGAGGCCGCAGGGGGCGCTGTGCAGAGGGGAGTCAGCAAGGCTGTCTCCAGGCCCTGCTCTCTGACCAGGAAGTGGTTATTCCCCACTGCCCCCAGAATTCAAGGGTCCTGTCACTGTGTGGAACCCCTAGGATTACACACCTCACCCCCACAGGGGGTGATGCTCACCTACAGTGATGGGCTCCTGCCCCAGCAGGGCTGACATGTTAACAAAATAACCACGTTTCAGTCTCCCTGAAATGCGCCTTTAGTGAATTGGTTTCTGCTTCCACCTGGTGGTAAAAATTAGCTAATGCCCAAGGCAGGGGGAGAGAAGCCAGTAAAAACCTACCGAATATTTCTGAAAACAAAAAAAAAATGAGCATGGAAGGACAGTGCATATTGCTCTCTGGGACTGAAATGTGGCTGTGGGGTAGGGCTCGGGTGTGATGGCCTCTGGGTCCCTTCTGCCAAACCCAGCATGATGATTCCTCACAGAGTGAAGTGGCTGCCATATGGACATTTTGAAATAAGATGGTATAAAAATAAGTCAATAACAAAATAATGTGAACATAACATTTGATATACGGGTCTTACAATGCACAATGATAGATGACTGGATCCAGAAACAGAAGGCATAATATACTTACTGGGAGTGGGAAGGGAAACCCAGGATGAGGAGAGGCATCCCCAATATCATTTAATTAATTAAGTTATTAAATACAATTATATTACAAAACCAATATCTTTGCTTGGGAAAAAACTTTAATCAGCACATAAGAATATAAAATCTTAATTTGCCAAATATAATCACCATCCGTATTTCCTAGTGTTTTAATTTTTTAATGTTTTTAATATTTGTACTCAAATTTATACACATTAGATCATATTATACTCTGTGTTCTAAAGTTTTATTTTAATTGCTATATCTTAGAGATAGCTCTATTCCATTACCTATATGTCTGATTACCCACCCACCCACTCACGTACACTGGACTTTTTTAATGGTGGAATAGCATCCAGGTGTGTGATTTTGTAAGCTGTGCTTCCTCATTTCCCTGACCGATTTCTGTAGGACTTTTGGATTGTTCCAGAGTGTTTGGCAATGCCAGCAAGGCTGTGTTATTACAGATGCATCTGCATCTAACTTTGTGTATAGAGAGAATAGAGATGTGAATTTTCTGGGTCAAAGAGTTGCATTCATCTTGATGGGTATTTCCATGTTGCTTTCCAGAATGGCGTGCCCAACCAGTAGCATGGGTGGATGCCTTTTCCCTAAACTCTTGTCAGCATTGTGTTATCAAACTGTGATAGACTTGCAAGTCATATGTGACTTTTTTCTGTGAATTGGTTTGACAGCCAAGATATTCTGGTTCCAGAATCCATGACTTAGCTCATACTGTGCGGAAGGGTTTCCTTCCAGACCCATGAGCTGCACAGAGATAAGACACACCCTCCCTTGCCTACCCTATTTCCTGATGTTGCAGGAGCTACCAAAGCATGTTCTCAAAACCAGGATTGACAAGCAGGGCTTTGGGAGTTTCGTATGGTACCTTTATAGGGTGGCACACTAACTGCATCCTGGGTTAGGCCCAGGGTCTTGGTGGGCATGCATTTGCAGTGAAGTATTGGCTTTTTTCACTCCAGTTCCAGTCCTTCTTGAGATCAAGGGCCCAGTCCTTGACCTTGGGCCAAGAGCAAAATGAACAAAGCCCTTTATTTGGGTTCTGTTACTCAATGGTCATCTCCCAGCTAGTGGTGTGATTCAGGGAAAAGGGAGCTACTGACCAGGCCCTGGGTCCTGGGTACATTTTTTTTGTTTGTTTGTTTTCACTTTCATACCAGAATGGGCAAGATGATGTTACAAGAATAATTTTGAATCTACTCCAATGACTAGATTTAAAGAATAAATGAGCTAGCCTTGGCTGGTGCGTGAGTTGTTCCTTCCATGAGCACAGACCACAATACCTTCCTATCTGGGGCCCTGTGAGGATCTGAACTCCACTAGACCCAGCTCTGCCCTGGAGGGTGCTTCTCTAACTGGGCTGTGCACACGAACCCCTGAGGAGCTGGTGGAAATTCAGTTTCTGGCTCACTCTTGGTGTCGGGTATGTCCAGGGATCTGCATTTCTGGCAAGCTCCCAGAGTGCACAGATTCTGCTGGTTTAGGAATGGTGTTTTGTGTGGCAAGGTTCTGGGGTTCTGGTGCCTCAGTAATGTTTGCAATTACTTTATAGTTTGTTTTCTTTCTAATTATAAAATGTTTCAAAGGTACATATAATTGCAAAAAAAAAACAATATACTGGCCATCAAGATTGAACAGTTGTGTTTGTTTCAGATCTCTTATGAAAGAAAGTGCTATAGAAAGAGCTCCTTTCCTCCCACCCAGCCTGTTTCCCAGTGTGAGCACTATTCTAGAACTGGTGTATAGCACTCAGTGTGTTTTCATGCCACCACTGTGGATGGGCGAGCCGTATACCATCAGACACGTTATTGTGTGTTTCAGAATGACATCCTATTCCATATATACACATACACATAAATGGACATACTTTGCAAAGTTTTCTTCTTTCACTAGTACCAAGTTGCTTGTGACATGTTTTAATGAAAAAGGACTCTCCGATGTGAAATGAAACTACTATCTTTAAAGAAGACACATTTCTTCAGCTCATGATAGGGTTAGGGGTCCCAGGAGTAACCCCCTTCCCATCCCCCACCACCTACACTAAGAAACCTCCATCCTGAATTCTTGGTGTCTGGGGTCAGGTTCAGTTGGATACTCTGAAGCTGATCCCTTATGGTGCTGGGCAGCGCCTCTCTTTGTTCTGCTTCCATTCCCACCCCCCCCCCACTTTCCGTTGGCTTCCATGGCCCCAGGGAGAGGAACTGGCATGGCTGTGTGCTGCCCCAGGGGAGAGGGCAGCCATGGCATGGCCAGGACTCAGTGTAACAGTGCCACCGGCCTTTTCCAGGGGATGACCTCATGCGCTGTGTGGACCTCTACAACCAGGCCCAGTCCAAGTGGTTTGAAGAGATGGTGACCACCACGCTGGTGAGTACATGTCAGCATAGTGCCTGGTTCTCAGGACACCCGAAGTGGAGGCTGGCGGGCATGTAGGGGGTGGAGTGGCAGCGACTGAGGAGATGGTCGTTACACCTGTTCATGTTGGGGTCAAGACCTCGACTCTGGGCCAGTCTCCACTGACTCCGAACCTTGCTCTGGCACTTCCTAACTGTGTAAACATGGGTGAGGGTTGGGTCTTGCTGTACCTTCCTTGGCTGTCCCCTGAAGGGTCAGGTTTAATTGAAGATGTCCCTAACTGAGTTGACAGTGGCCCCTTTAGGACAAATAGGCAAGCTGTAGGAAGCATGACCTCTCACCCCCCAGAAGAGTGGCAGGTCCTACAGAGAAGATCCTTGTACAGCACATAAGTGATGAGGTTGGGACACTGTGTGGGAGGAATGGGGGGAGGCCCATGATTGGGGGCGTGAGGAATAGGCATCAGACCCCCTTTTTTGCCTCACTGAGTTTCTCCTGCGAGCGGGCAGCATCTCCTCAGTCAGCCCTTGTTGCTGTGAAGTGTGGTGGGCATTTGGGCCATTGGGCCAGGTGAGAAAGAAGCATCATGCCAGCTGTTTATTGTCCCATTGCTTGAAGCCACCCCCATCCACCCAGCACAGGACAGTGACCTGGTTTTCCTCCTGGTTAATCTCCTAATTAAGCCCCCTGCTTTACCCCCCTCCCCAGTTAATCACCTGGGCGCTGACCTAGTTGTACACAGAAATAACAGCCTGATCCCCTAAATTCTAAAGATATGGAACCACCTAAAACCAACAGGCAAACCCTTTCCAATCATCCTGTTGACAGTGGCCACCCAACTCCCAGCCCCCTGCCTCCCCAGGCCTGGTCTCTGGTCTGTCCCTCAGCAGTAGGTAGGGGTGGCCTGAGGGCAGAGACTGCTCAGCAGAGGCCCAGGGAGGCACAGACACGCCCCCACCCCCCACCCCCAGCACAGGTCCCTTTTGTTCACGCCACTAGGAACCAGGGCTGGGGCTGCACTGGTGTAGTCACCATCATGAAAACAGACCCTGGTTCAAATCTCGCTCCTCCCATCATTCCACATCACTTTGGGCAGGTGGTGTTAACTGTCCAGATGTTCATTCCCTTGTTTGGAAAAGGTGGAAAAGATCATGACCTCTCTCTTAAAATTATTATGAGCACGATAAAGTGATGCATGTAAAGCTCTTAGCGCCCACCATGCCTGGCCGGGCAGGGGCCAGGAAACGGCAGCTGCTATGTTTTCATCCTCTTTACCTTCACCGCCAGAGATAGGATGAGTCCTTCGTCAAACCCCAGAGGGTCACATGGGGTCAGGGCTGAGCAGGTGGTGGCTTGTGTTGTGTGAGATGGTGGTCTGGGACCTGCATGGTGGGACGGTCCCCACATGGAGGGGACATGCTCAGAGGTCTCTGGTCTCTCCTGCGCAGGAGCTGGAGCGGCTGGAGGTGGAGAGGGTGGAGATGATCCGGCAACACCTGTGCCAGTACACACAGCTGCGGCACGAGACAGACATGTTCAACCAAAGTGTGAGTTCCCGCCCCCTGCCCTGGTGGAGGGCAAGCAGGACCCTGGGTGACCTGGGGTCAGGGAGGGCCACCACCACTGCTCTGTGCCGGGTTACGTGGTCACTGTGGATGACTCTGTCCTGGAAATGGGCAATGGACAGGCTTGGGATGGCCTTGTAGATTGGCCTTTGCTCCCATGCGAACCCATCTCAGTGCAGGAAATAGAGCCATTACCCCGAGGAGAAAGACACTCATGATAGCTAAAATGGCGGAAGATGCTATTGCCTGCCCCAGTGAATTTCTTACCAAAAGGAAAAAAAAAACTAGAAATGTTCAGAATATCTAAAGCTAAAATTTCATTTGTCCTGTTCTGTGGTGGTAAACATGGGAACAGAGGTGGAAGTGGTCACAGACCCGGAGCCATTGGGGCCACCCTGCCCTCTTGCCCAGCCCTGGGGTCAAGAGGGTAAAGGGCGCTGAGTGAGAAACAGGGTGGGAATGAAAGGCCCCAGATCCCCACTTTCACAGTCCAGTATGTCCATCTGTCCCATGGGCCTGCCCTGGGGCCCCACAACCCTCTGGAGAGGCTGCTCTGATAGGCTCGAAGGTGCAAGCAGCGTGGCTCAGAGCCAGCGTCCCCGGCTCTGCTGCCACTTCTGACTGCATCCTCTCTTCTCCATCCCTTGCAGACAGTCGAGCCTGTGGACCAACTGCTTCGAAAAGTGGACCCAGCCAAAGACAGGGAGCTGTGGGTCAGAGAGCACAAGACAGGCAACATCCGCCCCGTGGACATGGAGATATAGACGGGCTCATGAGGCCCCGGGGGGCCTGCCAAGGAGCAGGGCTGGGGGTCCCATGAAGAGGAGGTGGTGGTTCCCACCACAGGGCCTACTGCCAACTGGAACTGCCCTCCCACCCGCTCTCCTGGTCCACTGTGGAGAGGGAGGGGTGCAGGCTGCAGCTCATACTTCCAGAGGCGCAGCCCAGATGGCCCCACTGGGAGGTCCCTAGTGTTTCCAGGCCAAGAAGATGGATCCACAGCTCCGCTCTTGTCTCTGAGGCTGAAGATCCCCACCTCCTGTGCTGTGCTTGCCACTTCGAGAACAAACTGAAGCTGGAACTTTGTGGTCCCTGCTGAGTACCGTAGGGGTCATCTCCTTATGCAGAGCCAACTGTGTCACATACTCAGCCTCTGGAAGCCCCAAAGTCCTTCCTCCAGCTGGTTCTCTGGTCTCTGAGGCTTTGGAGGGTCAGGGAAAGGATGTCTCTGTCTCCAAGCCAAGTGTCAGGGTAACAGTTGTGCATCAAAGGCACCATTTAGCTGAACAGCCATCCCTCAGCATCCTTTGCAGCCCTCCCCCGTTATTTTTCCCATTGTATTCTGGGAGCCCACGACTTGGCTCTTCTTTGTCACCTTTCATGATCAAGAGTCTTGGGAAGAAGACGTGGCTCCTGTCTTCCCAGACCAACCCTGCGTGGAGAGGTCAGGATGGAACTACCTCATTCAGCAAATTAGCCCTCAGTCAGAGTGTCAAATAGTGTTTCCTAGTAGATCAGCATCCTCAGTAAAACCTCCTCTCTAAAAATCCCAATCCACTCAACCTTCAGATGCTGCCTCTTCGCACCTCCTCCTTTCCAGTCTCTTAAAGGGGCTGGGTTAGTCCTACACAGGAGACGGATTGGGGCAAGTCTTTGTCATCCCCAGATGGCTCTACCTGCTTATGCATGCTGGCATCGGGATCACTGTCCCTTATATGGCTTTTTCTCATTGGTGGTCACTGTACAGGCATTGAAGACTCATGTAGCCACAGTAGGTTGTCACCCGCTGGCCAGTGTCCTGCCACCTTGGCCTCTCAGCACCTTCTGCACATTCCAGAGCCCTGCACCAAGCGCCTGCTTGGTGCCAGTATAGCCTTCCCCTTTCTTCATCTCCCAGTGTCTGGAAAAACCTGGTCTAAGTGCGACCTAGGAAACTTCCAGGGCTGCCTTCAGATCCTTGCACATCCCTTTCTCCTTTTCCTGACCACAGAAAACATGTTAAGTCACATGAAGTCTTGAGAATCAGTTCAAAAGGTCCAGAAGAAGAAAAGGGACCTGAAGGAGATCATGCAGCTGGCAAGGTGCAGATCCTAGCCTGGAACCCATGCCCTGAGACCCAGCCCATCTTTCTAACTTAATCTTCCCACTGATGACAGGATTATCGGATTCATGGGACCCATGTTTCCCAAGAGCACAGAATTCTAAGAGCACAATTCACTGGCTTTCAGTCTTGCCAGTGACTAGCAGCATGTTAATCTTGGATCTTTTGGTACCTCTTACACTGAGTCAGAATTGCTCTCTCATAGGTTACAGTAGAAAGATGCCGAATTTACTACAGCAAACCAAGCTTTGTCATGTTTCCTACTAAAGCATCCCAATCAAAAAGGTCAGCTTGAAGGCCTTCACGAACATGAATCTGTCCATGGCACGGAGAAGCACTGCTTCTGGATCTGGGATTGGGCCCACCATGACACCAGCCACCAGTTTCAGGGTGTTATTTTTTGGTTTCTTTATTAAAAACGGGTGCTAGTAATAATTGCTTCGTGGCTTAGTAAACTAATTTATGGGTGATTTTCAAATATTCAAAGCCAATAGGCTTGTTATGAACAGATATTCTGAATAGATATGCTCATGAATTTTGTCTTCTCATTTCCATCTGAGGGTTCCAGAGTCTTCTGTTCCTCACTGCAACAGAGGTACTCTTGCCTCTTCCAGGGTGGCCCAAGCTGGTCCAAGGTGGGCAAGTCTTGTTTCTGAAGTCACTCATTTCTCCCCCATCATCTCATCTCAGTCTCGTTAGCTTCCTCACATGCTCCCTTTCTGTTTCTCTTCCCTCCTTTATTCATCGAGCACTTAGCTAAAGCCAAGCAATGTGATAAGATTTGAGGACAAGATACGGGTTTGTCATCAGGGAAGCCCATGATCTGATATTTTGTGTAGACTTCTCTTTTCTCCAGGGTTCTCGCAGGTCAGTAACCTTGGCATTCACATACAGGTACAGGTGGGCTTTCAGAGACACTGTCTGTTGTGCTGATAGATTTGCATTCATTTATTCATCCATTTATTGACCAGATACTTGGGATAAGCCAGGCACTGTGTGGGATTCTAGAAGTATAGCTGTATACAAGACAGACATTGTCCTTTGTCTCCTCTATTCACCATGTAGACAGGAGGATACTTGAACATTTCTGGAGAATGAGAACATTTAACCTTCAACATTTAACCCCCTGGCAGCCTGCAGTTCCAGCACACACTACTGTCATGTGGCATTTAGACACTGGGTGGAAGGTAGACAGCAACAAGGGTCCAGTCACCTGGTCACTAGACTCTCGCAGCCCATATCCAACTTGAATTTCTGAGGTTTCTTTTGTTTTAAATAACACTCCTCACTTTACCAAGAGGGGGAAGCCCAAGCACGACCAGTGAGTACAGAGAAATTAGCAAGAGTGAATTAAGAGCAGAACTGGAGCCCATAGTCCAAGCCCCTATATTGTTAACAGGGTTCTTCCCCTGCCCGCTGCTGGATGAAGTCAATATCAGAATGAAGTCTACAGTACCTGAAAGTGCACCTCAGGGTAGCAGTCATTCTATCCAGGTGGTTCTGTTTTTGTTTATGTTTTGGCATTTAGGTCATAAGAGGATTTGGCTGGATTTATTCAGAATGGGTGACGAGTCTAGGTTATTCTTGAGCACATCTATTGTTCCACTTCTGAGAACAAGTGGGCCCCTTCTGCCTGTTCTACTTAGTTTTATCTGGGAAAACCTGGTTTTAAAAAATAAGCATCTCCAAGACAAATGGTGTTCTGAGTGAGCTGGTTGCCATGACAACCTCCAGAAAAAGCCACTTGTTCCTCTCCATTTTATTTCCAGTGTGTTTGAGCAGTATCATAGAGGGATAGCTGTCCTGAGGTTCTGCAGCAGGCAGACTCCGCTGCCCCTCGGGGCTGACGGATGCCTGGAGCAGACAGAAACTGCGTGTTCATGAACCAGGTGTTTGTTTCTATTCCCTTTGTGGAAACCAGTCAACTACTGGATTAGTGGATGGTGCATAAAAATCTTGGCTGAGCCAAAGTCCCTTCTTGGAAATACAAGCCATAAATTCAAAGGATGTCAAAGACCTCACCTTGTTTAAGTGATTTTACTTCCAGGGTTCTGTGAATTTTGACAAACGTGTATAGCCCTGTAAACACCACCAAAATTAACATAATATTTCCATCACTCCAAGATTCCCCCTAACCCCTGTAGTCAATCCACTCCTCCCACCTCCAGCCCTTGGCAACCACTGATTGGTTTTCTGACCTTATAGTTTTGCCCTTTCTAGGATGTTGTGTAAAAGGAGCCAGACAACAGTCTTTGAGGCTGGTTCCTTTCTTTCAGTCTTGGATTAGTATTGTGAGCCACCCATGCTGTGTGCCTATCCTTGCTCCCCTCACATCACCTAGTGGTGTTCCATTGCATGGCGTACCCCATGGCTCCCTCGCTTCTACAATGCATTGTTTGCCCAGACGTTCCTCTTCAGGGTCTACAGCTTGTCTGCATGGTTGCTCCACCCTGCTGCTTCCTACACTTCCCAGGACTCCTTCTCCAAATGCCAGCTGTGCCCACAGGTAGTTCTTGCAGCTCACACTTGGTTTTTGGTTCATGTCAGGATCTGACAGTGCAGAAAGCTACCAGGGATTGTGGGGGAGGGCCAGGCTGGGTCTGCATTGCCTCCCCCTTCTATGTCCTGGAGCTTGCCTCTAGGATAGCAAATCCACCCTCTCCCGGGGCCCCTCATGTCAGCGCACACAGTCCTTGGCATTTATTGAGTGTAAGAGGGTGTGGAAGGCAAATGGATGAGAAGGCAGGGGGCTGGCTGGGGACTCATTGAGATCCTATCCTGGATTTCTTTGCTTCATCTGCAGACTGAAAATATTCTTCTAGAAGTTCTCTCAGGCCTCCTGCAGTCACTGCATTCTATCTTTCCCCCTTCTCATTTCCAGTGTTTTACCCTGTACACATGGTCATTCCTCATCTGGGTCTCTTAAGCACAGTGGTGCATGGCATTACCTAAAATCCTCACGAGAGGGACATGCTGGCATTTCTCTTGTTAGACACAAATGCAGCTGAAATTAAGAGTCTTGAGAGCTGTCAAGAATGAGGTAATTCCTCCTTAGGACCTCCAAGGTGACAACTCCGAGCCCTATCTTGGTCATGCCCTGCTCTGTGACAGGTGAGCCCTGGACGGCCACCAGGAACCTCTCCAAGCAAACTGAAAATACCTGGGTCCAGGCCGAGGTGGGAGCCCAAGCCCACAGGCTCCCGTGGTGGGGAGCCACAGATCTGTGCTGCTGGGGCATTCTGGGCAAATTTTGCCATGAACTCTCATCACTCCTCTTCCCCAGGAATATTATCCCAGTCAGGCCCCTCTCGAAGAGGAGGGCCTCAACTCCTGTTGCAGCAGGTTTGGGTGAAAATAGACATATGACAAAAAAAGCAAGCTTCCATTTTCTCTAACCCTCTAGATGCTGGGGCCAGGCTCTTTGGGGAGCCTTTGTTGGGAGGTGCCTCCGAAGGACAGGGGTTGTGACTGCCTTTGATCTCTCTGTGTGTGGTTGAGGAGACATGGACCCTTTGTGCTTCCAGGGAAGTTCCTAATGGGACTGCAATGGAGAAATACAATGGTCCGGCATGTGGGTGCTCTAACAGACAGTGTGACACTGGGACAGAGGTCCCAGGGGCAAGAGCACTGGACTGGGTCCACTCTGCTCTCTCTTTAGTCCCATAACCTGAGTTGTCACCTCCCCTCCCGGACCTTGGTGGACTCATCTGTCAACTGAGACATTCCCCTTCCAGCGTTGTACACGGCAGACTGGCTCTTGGGAGCCATGGCCTCAGGGCAGCCTTGTGGACCCAGGGACAGATATTCAAAGGGACCCCGGCCACCCTTGGTGATGGGCCTCCAGTCTGCATCTCTGCCCTCCCTTAGGATGGGGATTGAGGGCGGGGGGGGTGGGGCACAGTAGTTCTTCACAGACACGAGCACATCAGCAAACCCTATGAAAGTGGAATTTTCTAACAGAATAAACTTGCTTGTTTGGTCTGTTTTCTGTAACTTTTGCTAAATACTTTATACATTTTTAATGTTACAAAGCTGTGTCTCCTGCCAGCATTCCTCCTCCCGGTATGAATGTGTTTACTCCACACTGTATATCCTCCTCCCTCTGACTGCCTAGACCAGTAAATAAAATGGATGTAATATAATTTATAAGTGACACTGTTGAAACTCTGATCCCTCTGGGGGCTGTCACCAGCTCTCCTCAACTCCTGTAATAGCATTTGTGTGTATTAATGCTGAATTAAATGTTTAAAGCATTTAAATTTTGAAGGCGTTTGCTATATATAATTGTTCCGCATTGTTATAAAGCATTTTCAGGAAGTTAAATCTCTCCCATTTTTTTCCTTTTGGCTCTGTGTGTACACTTGAGATGCTTAGGATCACCCATGTGAAATAAACTATCCAGAGACACTGGGTCCCACTTGGTGACCCTCCTCCCTGGAAGGCAGCCACACTCTCCTTTGGACAAATGGCTTCTGCATTTCTCCAGGCTCCCAGGACTGGGATAATTTTACTCCTGATAACTTAGCAGGGGGACAAAAGTCACCTGAGCATTGACCCTCCCCCCCAGATGGGTGCCATGCTGCCAGACCCACACTCCTGACCCCATCCCAGTCCCCTCCCCTGGCGACTTGTCCCTATGGACAGGTGGGGCTCCCAGCTGTTATTTCTTGTCTCATCCATCCATCTGTTGATGCATCCCTTCCTTCATGCCATAATTATCAAGCACCTACTATGTTCTAGACACTGTCAGAGGTAATGGGAACAGTGGAATGAAACAGGTAAAACTCTACCCTTATGAGCTTCCTTTCTAGCAAGGAAAGACAGAAAAACATGAGGTTATCATGCAGGTATGTAGTGTGGCTAAAGAAGGTATTAAGTGTTATAGAGAAATAAAAACGGGGCAGAGAGAACTGGTAGTTTTCTAAGGGTGAGGGTGGGTAAGTTGCTATATTAAATAGGGGAGTTGGGTAGCCTCACTGGGAAGGTGCAAAGACAAGTAGACTGAAGACTGGGGAGACAGCCTGGCAGGTAGCTAGCTGGGAGAAGAATGTTCCTGCAGAGGAGGTGACCTAATGAGAGGTTGGGTGTATGTCAGGGGGTGGGCAGTAGAGGACTATTTGGGGCCACTAGTTGAAGCAGAGCGGTGGTGGGGAGGTGCAGCTTCCACCAGGCTTTGCCAGCGTTGGAGAGCCTGTGACTTTTACTCTGGGGGTCCGAGGTGCATGGCCTGACTTCGGTGCCACAGGGCTTGCTGCACTACAGTGAGGGACGGGAGCAGAAGCACCCTCTGAAGCTGGAGCTCAGGGAGAAGCAGTGAGCCCACAGGGGGCACTCATGGTGCAGGTGGAGAGAATGACCAGGTTCTGGGTGTACTGTGCAGGTAGAGCTAACACGATTTCTGACAGGTTGCAGTGGGGTGGGACAGAATGAGAGGTGCTGAGGGTGACTCCGAGGACTTCAGTCCAAGCAACCAAAAGACCAGGTTGCCATTCAGTGCAAAGGAGTGGCCATGGGAGGGACATCCTTTCCCACTGTCTGCCTTCTGGCCCTCCTCTCCCCTGTTCTCTTTCAGTGCAGACTGTACAGGCCCTGGGACCAGGCCCAGGAGCAGAGGTCAGCTTGTCTTGGAGCTCAGAGCCAGGATGGTAGGGGGCTGAAGGTGGGGGCCGGAGGGCTGGGCCCTAGCTAACAGCTAAGACAGAGCTCCAGTTTGGGGTGTGACAGGCCAGCCTCTGGGAAGAGCCTGCTTTGTTCAGTCAAGGCCAGGAGGGGAGACACACACTGAGACTGCCTGGAGACGAGGCCTTCTTCCCCGTGGACTTTGGAGTTTGAGGAGAGTTTATGGCCCTAGCTCAGACTTAACAAATCCATTCACAATACATCATCTCCAACAACTTGTTTGACTAAGGAGCATAAACTCTCCCTCTGATAGAAGATGTTTATGCAGGTTTTCAAACAAACCTCCAGGTCATGACCCTTCTCTCAGCAGCATCAACACAGCTGCCTGTGGGTCCCCTCCTGCACTTGGGCTCCTCCTGGGTGCAGCAACCTGAAGAATAGGGACAATACCAGGCTGCTTCTGACCTGGATCCAGCTCCTTCCTCCTTGTCCCTGGAGAGGGCAGAAGAGGTTGGGGGATGATAGCTGCCTACCATCTTAACCCAGGGCCCTGTTTTCTTGCCCACGTCTTGTCAGAGCAACCCCAGCTCTTCACCTGCAGACATGGAGCTTCTCCCACCCTCAGCTCAGGCAACTGTAATGTAGTGAAGGGCCCTGAATGGGGAGCCTGGCAGGCCTGGGCTTTCATTCCGGCTTTGCATTTTACAACCGTGTGACACAGGCCAGCGATAGGCATTTTGGAACTTTGTTTTCACCCCTGTAACACCAGCCTGGCCTTATCTGCAGGCCTGGTGTGGATGGGCGGAGAACCCAGAAGGTACTTCTTTTTATTTTTATATATGTAAACAATTTTTTTTTATTTTTTTAACTTTTTTAAAATTTTAATCATTGTTCAAGTACAGTTTTCTCCCTTTTACTCCCATTCCAGCCCACCCACCCACCCCTCCCCACCTCCCTCCCATTACCCCTCTCCCCCTAGTTTTTGTCCATGTGTCCTTTAAATTTGTTCTTGTAAACCCTTCCCATTCTCCCCGAAATCTCCTCTTCTCTCCCCTCTGGTCACTGTCATCCTGTCCCCTATTTCAGTGTCTTTGGTTATATTTTGCTTGTTTCTTTGTTTTGTTCTTTAGGTTCCTGTTAATGGTGAGATCATATGGTATTTGTCTTTCACTGCCTGGCTTATTTCACTTAGCATAATGCTTTCCAGCTCCATCCAAGCTGTTGCAAAGGGTAGGAGCTCCAGAAGGCACCTCTAAAGGCCTCTCGCACCTGGTTCAGAGGTAGGGGGTGAACCTCCAACCTCACTTTCATGGCCTGGGTTGTGTTTGTTTCTGAGTTCAGTGACTGTTCTATTTCTAACTGCTCTTGAAAATAAATGCCTTGCTACAAGAGAGTGAAATCTAGAAGAGAAAGGCTCTTAACAACTAACATGCTCTCGCAAACTGACAGGACCAAATAGTGAGTGCACCTACACACCCCTAACGTTAAGGCTTCCTGAGAAACACTCTGGAACCACAGCAGGTGGAGCAAGCTGGAGGGGTGGGTGAGCAGATTTGGCTCCCGAACTTTTGTCCTCCCTAAGCAACAGCAGGGTAGGCCTGGCAGGTGGCTTTCTCCCAGCAGTAGGGGCCTGTTTTGATAGGGTACAAACCCTGACTCACCTGCCTAGAGATTGTGGCGTTTATTCTTCATAGTTATGACCCCTGGGCAAAGAGGAGACATCTCTCCCATCCAGTTTGGCAATGTGGGGGCTCCAGGTACATTCCCCTCCAGCATTGTGCTCAGCCAAGCTGGGGCACTGCCAACCTTTTCTTCGGTGACGAGAATTCAGGTACATAGCATACCCCCTAGGGTTCTTCCTTATGTCCTGCACTCATAACTGAGCTGACTGCAGAGATGTGAAGGCTTCCATTGCAGAGTTCCCATCTCCCATCTATCCATTCACTCACTCAACAAGCATGTTAATGTCTGCTAGCTTCAGGCATCAGGCTGGGCTGCAAACTGACAACCTGCAAGCTGAAACCAAACCACAGATATGTTCTATTTGGCCCACACCAAGTTTTAAAAATTTCTGAACTCTCAATTTAAAAGCTTGGAAATTGCATCTAAAAATCTGATTTATGAATTTCTTTTGGATAATAAAAAAATACAATAACACTGGGCCATAATCCCATGTGACCATGTTGACATGGAGTTGAACACTGGCAGCCCCTCCCACATGTGACACAGGCCTCACCACTCCCTATTGTATCCCTGATCCAGCTCTTTCACTCCTTCCCTCCACTTGCTGACTCCTAGTAGGCAGTTTAGTTTTTGACCCTGTTGTAGATGAGTAATAACAAAAACTAACATATGGTTAGTACTTAGTATGTGCCAGGCTCTACTCTAAGTATGTTCACACATTAACTCATTCCAGCCTCACAAAAACAATGAAGTAGACACTATGATTATACCCATTCACTCAAAAAATAGCCACTGACAGCCCAGCCCTGCCAAGCACCATTCTGACAATGAAAATGCAACCAGGAACAAGCAGACGGACCCTTGCTTCCAGAGAGCTCTCACTCTGGTGAGGCCCTAGACAGCACCTGGAACAAATAAATAGGAAGCCAGAAGGTGTATGGGGGAGGGAGCAAAGGAAAAGCAGGGTAAACAGTCTGGGGTATGCTGATGGGTGTGGTAGGGTGTGCAGGTGGAAATAGAGTGGACAATACAGACCTTTGTGAGAAAGTGACTTTTAAGGAAACCACGAAGGAGGTGAAGGGTTGGGAGAAGAACGTTCTAGGCAGAAAGATTTTAGAAAAGGTACCTGGCAAGAAGGGGCTGGATAGAAGTATTTGAAGTCGTGAGAGGCAAGGACCTACATACAAGATGACTCTATCCAGCAAAGCTTTCATTTAGAATGGAAGGGCAGATAAAGTGCTTCCCAGATAAGGTCAAGTTAAAGGAGTTCATCATCACCAAGCCCTTATTACATGAAATGTTAAAGGGACTTATCTAAGGAATAGAAGATCAAAAACTGTGAACAGTGAAATGACAACAAACTCACATCTATCAATAACTGAACCTAAAAAACAAACAAGCAAACAAGCAAACAAACAAACACACTAGGCAAACAACCAACACAGGAACAGAATCACAGAAATGGAGATCTCATGGAGGGTTATGAGTGGGGAGGGGGAGAATGGGGGGGAAGTTAAGGGAATAAGAAGCATAACTGGTAGGTACAAAATAGACAGGGGGAGGTTAAGAATAGCATGGGAAATAGAGAAGCCAAAGAACTTATATGTACAACCCACAGACATGAACTAAGTGTGGGCAGGGATGCTGGAGAGTGGGGGGAGTGGGGTGGAGGGAGGATAAAGGAGAGAAAAGACTGGGACAACTGTAATAGCTTAATCAATAAAATATACTTAAAAAAGAAAACATGCCTGGGGTCACACAGCTAGTACATTGCAAAGTTGGGATTTGAAACCAGGTGGTCTCCAGAGCCTGGCTCCTACCCCTGCATTGTAGGGCTCAATGAAAGATGGGACCCTCAGAGTCAGGGTGGGGGACAGGAGTGAACACCATTGCTCTCAAAGAGCTAGAGTTGGGGTGGAAGAGGATGAACTAGGGACAGTGTGAAAGGCCTTGGCCCAAGACTTGGGCTCCAAAAGGCTCTGACCTCC